AATGTCGCCGAATGTTTCTCCGCTGGTATATCACTCGAATATGTTCTGATCCGACTAAGATTGAATTCTGGGCGTACCTTGATAAAGTCGGGTAGGTCGGACTGGGCCGGATAATCTGGAATTTGACAACTGACAACTCCACCAGGCGGATGCATACGGGGAAAGACCGCATGATCTCCTTTGATGTGGAATACATACACATTGGCGCGTGTCTGGGGTACATTCAAGATGTACTCATCGAAGGAGTGATGGGGTGCGAGAAGATGTCCTTGCCCTTCCGGGTTGCGCTGATTCGTGCACTGGGGAAAGTGATCTGGATACAAAATGATCTCTTTGCTCGATGGCGATGTAGGGATGGCGCCGAGTTTGAGACGGAAATAGAGGCAGTCCACCAAGATCAGAAGCCAGGAACAAAGGCGACCAATGTCACTACGAAGACACGCGATCAGCGGGATGAGGAGACAAGCAGCGTAAGGAGTACCTCATCTTTCCAGGCAGAATCAGCCAGCATCTTCTCCGACCGTCAGTCGACTGCACGCACATCAATCAGCATTAACACACAGCAAGCGGCCACGGACTACCCTGCTTGCCCGTTTTCACCCGACTATGCTCCATCGTACGAAACAAAGGTTTGGTCTGATACCGAGTCTGGTCGCTGCTCTCGGTGACGTGAGGATCACGATGCAGGGTAAAAAAAAGGGGGGGCTGTTGATATCGACATACATAGTAGAGAGCCAAATTTCAAGAGAATAGAAATGCACTATGTAACTATTCTCTACATGATGGATGTGAGGTATGTACAGCCGGGTATTCACGGGTATTTTCTCCACGGTCGGGTTGTGCCATGTTTGACAGGAAGACCCCAAACACGGACAACGATTGAAGTAGATCTTCGTATATATTTTCAAAATTTACGACTTCTATAGATGAAAAAAATAAGGCGTGCACTCTAGAGCCACAATGTAGTTGCAATGGCACAATCACGGTTTGACAAAGGTCAAAAAGTCGAGGCTCAGGTCAGTGAAGAAGCTGGCGCCCGCGACCGGGTTAGGGGCATCTGCCACCGTCACGTTGCAATATTCGTCGAAGCTCCCCGCAACCTTGGTCTTCTCCCCGAGAAGAGCTATATAATCAGACAACAAGCAACTACGGCCTGGTCCATCTTGGCAGTGGGAGATGGGGTAGACCGCGTCGTTGAACAGTACGCGGATATAGGTTTTGTCGTTTATCCAGCGTCGAGACTCGACTTCACAACTCAAAACTTCAAAGGCAACAGTGCCCCGCATAGTGATCCAATTGGCAACATTATACAGATGGTGGGCGGGGAGCTTGTCGATGGGTAGGAAGGGCTCGTCATCGAAGATGCCCATGGCAGCGGTCATTTCCGCGATCTGATTGTCATTCAAGAAGGCCATGATCAGGTTGGGAACCGTGAAGTTACCACCATCCGCATCGGTTCCAACCTGACCCGGACCCTTGCCTAAGAGGTCCATCAGGCTGTTTAGGAAAGGTAAGAATAGCACCTTGGCCGGACCGACGGAACCAGGGCCGACTTTGTAGTAGTAGCTCAAATCCTGAGAATACGCGTAGTTGCGTAGCTCGTCCTCGGTGAACACTCCGCACCAGGGGCTTAGACGTCCGGTTATCTGACTCTCATAGCCGCACATATAGGGGAAGAAGAGTATATCGCTCTCGTCAAAGGTGAGATTACCACTGACGAGGGAGTTGATGCGTTCGAGCGCCTTGGGAGTCCAGGTAGCGTCGACTGTCGCGGAGTTAGCCCGGTCGCACGAATGGACTTCCTCTGAGACATACAATCCGTAACATTATTTCCCCCGCTGGAGATTGAGGAAAATGCAGGACACATATCGGAGGGTCCTAAAGAGTTGCCGATAGCGCTGATGGAGCCGGTCGAGTTCACGCTGACCACGGTGCCGTAGGTGTCGGCATACTCGTAGAGGTACCCATTGACAAAGGCACGGGCGGTCTGAACGACTCTCGACTCGTTCAGCGGATACTGGTAAGCATTTGCCCATGCAAAGAATGGGGTTCCATCTTCGTAGAAGTGGGGATCTGTCATGTCATTAGTCACGAACGAAAATGAGCATGGGGATGCAGTCTTACACCGGGCCCGTAGCTGGTAGCCCAAATCGGTCGCCTACACACAATTAGTGTTCATACCATGTTGATGTTCGTGAAGAGACAGGCACCTCCTTCCATCCTGTCATTGACTCTTGAGACATTTGCAGGCTGGGATTGGTCAAAACTGGAGTCCATTCTGGGATGAAGGCCAGTGATCCGCGGGCCTCAAAGCCGGTGCTATTGACGGCAGCTTGGATCTAGTATCGGAGGTTAGTATGAATGGCGGCGCCTTGACACATTACTGTGACGGAAGTAACAGACCTTCTCCTTAATACCAACCCATGATTCATAGGAGCCAGAATCTGGGAAGCTGCAGTCCAAGCTTAACGCTCAAACACCTGGGCGCAGTACGTCGTGGAGCACTTACCGGCTGCCGTGCCTCACCACATAAGCCGCTTGCTGGACCGAGCACTTATCTGGAACGCTACTGTCGATACCGAAGACATTGGGGCCTAGAAATTCAAATAAGGATCACTATCGCCACAGCATGGAAGGAAAAGGTTTCGTACCAGCGAAGTAAGGGCTATTCCCGCCGGCATATTGTAGGGGGTTTTGGTTTGTCGGGGTCGACGGGAATAAGATGTCATTAGTGGGAGCCAGGACCTGGGCACTGCTCCCGCTAACCACTATCAACAGCCATGAAGAAATGACCGACGGCCTGAACGAGTTCACCATGTTGATTTGATAAAGCGAAGACTGGAAGAACAGTGGAACGAGCAGCGTGCCATCCAACGGTTCAGGGGCAAGGAAGACTGTTTGGTGATGTATAGATCGCTTTATATGATCTTCATACCCTGAAAGCAGCTGCTGCTAGGAAGTAGCGTCGCATGTCGTAGGACAAATACAGTTGGCGGTCGCGTCCGCCGGTAAGACTAAGTATTCCTAGTAGTAGCGCTAGTGATGGAAGGCGTCTTGCCGTCCTATAGTCCGTCCACGTGCCAATTAGTATATTAAGTTGAAATCAAACGAGGCGAAGCGGCCTTTTCAGAGTAATTTGAGGTTGCCGAGCGGGGCGGCCAATCGCATAAGATAGAGCACAACGTGAACACTTACTCCCAGGTTCACAACTGCGATGATCTTTTGTTCCACAACAAAGCCCTTATTGGTAGTAGTACTATGGTACGGCAACCTCCACGAATACTTGATAAAATGTATGTTAGACTATAGCGACAATAGATATACTATATACAGATCAGCGATGTGAGCAGGATGTGACATAGAGCGCTGTGTTAATCCAGTCCATCAATCAGTCGTTGCGAACGGCTGCATCTTATTACCACTACTGCTGAGTTGATGCGTATTAGTACCCGGCCCACGTGTCCCGGGCATATCAATTTCAAATGAAGCCGGTCAATGTGGCGCCTCGAATTAATTCGGAGCCAGCGAGCAGGTAGGCCAATTGTATATGTTAAAGCAGACAACATGGTTGAAGTACTTTCAAGTAGCTGACCAGGGGTGGATTGCTTCCAGGATCGATCGTGAAACCGGCTACTGACAGCTGTAAAATGCCACATTTGCCTTTATTACTCTTCTTACTGTATGTCTCCTGATGTGATGGGAGGGCGTCCCGAATGTGCGACCGGATGATTTGACATATTTGCGCTGAACAGTCCTCCGTGTTTGGCGGCTGAGACACCCGTGCTATCTTTTGATCGTGTCATCTGTATAGGCTGGTTGGTGCTCGGAAGTAGCGGATTATATAGTAGCGTCTAATACGTTGACACAAACGAGTGCTGTCCACTCCAATAGTCTCAAGCATAGCATTGCATGTCTTACTCACACGGTCAACCTAGTAATGCGACTTGCTATTCTCCACACACCTCTTTTCCTCATCAAAGTCTCCGGTACACATTCCTTCGAGACCAAATCCTGAGTAATACTCGTTTTGTTGTTTACCTCTATTACTAGCCCTCGACAGAGCATTGGAATTCAGTACCACCACCTCTCTGTCTTCAAGGCGTTGAAAACATGTTACAATGGTAATTTGCTCTCTAAGAAGCCCCATCTCTGACAAACCGTGTTTACGCAGCGCGTAAATGAAATGGCCGATATACTGGAACTGATGCATTATCGTACGTGCTAAAGCTCAATAGCGGGCTTCCAGGCTGAATACAGTGCCTGATCCGATGTGCGTTGATAAAGAACCAGTGACAGTGATTGAACTCCAGGAGGGGAGATATCTCCGCGATACCTTGTGCACTGGCCAGTGTAGCACACATTCGCCTTATGTGGGACCTAGGAATTCAGGGTCGGACATAGTAGACATTTATCTCGTCAATGGCAAAGATAGTCCCAATCTTCATGGCGATCAACCAGCAACTTGCGTGTGTACGCTTTCCCTTCATTATAGGACATGTCATTATTTTCGCCCGCTCCATAACTCGTGATTTAAATTACGAAATGGTTATTTGGGTATAGCATTAGAAGTGTTGACCGTAGGCGGCCCCAGTAGAAGGCGAGATGGGCTGTGGTTATCTCAAGTACTCTCATTACAACGCTGTCACAGGTGACAGATGGATGGAGGCGGGGGATCCATAACAGCAACACGACCCTCATGACCGGCTACAACGTTAGAGCGGCTACCGACGAGAGATGAATCCGCCGGGGATCAGAGGGAGTAATAGTCTGTAGTTTTTTGTAAATATATAGTAGCAAGCGAGTTTGTCAGGAATGGACGAGCACATTATGACGAGTGTTCCAACTCTACGTTACGCAAAAGTGACCAGATCACTGTGGTTGGACACCCCAGCTACCGCGCTCATACATTTATATCCAACTTGCGTGGAAATATTCGGCCTGACACATCATGTTCCAAAAGAAAGTATACCTTCATTATCACTGCTCCTCGGAGGCTAATGTCACACGCTGATTTGATTGCCGAGTGCCTCCTTCCACCAATTGTCCCCATTCTCCCGATACCACTGGACCGTGTCGGCTAGTCCTTCCTTGAAGCAGACGCTTTGAGACCATCCGAGTTCCTTGAGCCTGTCACCCTTGACAACATAGTCATTGTCGTTGTATGGCCTATCTGGAATAGAAACAATGAATTTATCAAGTTCTCCCCTTTTGTCATGTCCAAATTCTCTCAAAACTCCAATCGCGACATCACGCACTGATACTTCGTCTGATGAGCTGACGTTATAAACACCCCCGGGAACGCCTTTATGAAGAACCATATCATATGCAGCAATTACATCAGCGACATGAACGAAATTCCTAGTACGGCTGCCGTTGCCTTGGATTGTCAACTTCTGGCCGTCCCTGGCAAGCACAGCAAATTTGGGGATGAGCTCTGTAAGAAAATGTCAGTATTAATGAAGGGGAATGGGGCAACTAGCCTTACTCTCGGGGTATTGACAGGGTCCATAAATGTTGTTACACCGTAGAATCATGCCGGGAATACCAAAGCTCTTTCGATAGGCCATGACGAACATTTCGGCTGCAGCTTTGCTAGCGGCATAAGGATTGGTAGGGTTCATACGCGTGTCTTCGTCCACACTGACCCCCCATGTTTCCCCATACACCTCATCAGTCGAGGCATGTACAAATCTATGAACCATCAGCTATAATTGAGAACGGCTGCTGAAGTAAATACCTTGTAATTTTTCCATGGGCGTTCATTGCTTCCAGTAACCGAAACGTCGCACACACATTCATGTCCACAAAAGCAGCAGGATCGCTAAATGACTTCTGAACACTGGACTCTGCTGCAAAGTGTATGACGCTATCGATGTTGTACTCGTCCATAATCTTGATCAGGCGTTCCTTGTCATGGAGATTGCCTTGGACAAAGTGAAAGTTGGGTCTGTCCAGAACCGACTTTAGATTGTTCAAGGTAGACACATTGCTCAGCTTATCAAGGCAGACAACGCTATACTGTTCTCCATATTGATGAACAAGGTGATGGCACATCCAAGATCCAATGAATCCTGCTCCTCCAGTAACCATGATATTCTTCACCTCACAACCTGGCCGGTCTGTGGGACCTTTGGTCATAGGAGTGATTGTAGTGATAGTCATGGTGAAATAAGGCTTTGGAGATGGGACGTTCTCTTCGATGCTTATGATATGACTAATTTCAGTGGGAGTACACTCACAGATTAGGGGGATCAGGGTAGGTATATATGCTAGGACCGCGTTATTGCCACGGTGAGCCTCCTCAACTCGAAGAACCAGGCTTCCTGCAGCGGTATGACATTCACATACCCTGTAATAGCTCGTTACTTCAGGTTTCTTCAACTTAATCCATGCATCCGCCTTGTAAAGGACATCATCTGGTCTATTAACAAGGGGGAGGAGCTTTCCCAGACGTCATTTATCATCCCAATATGAGACTTTGACATCATTACTTCCCCTGTTGCCTTGAACAGTTGGATGGTGAACTTTACATTACTGGTTCTCAATGCCTTCAGGAATTGTTCTGTAGCGTGTGCCATATATCACGAGCCAATGTCTGTCTAAGACGGTGAAAATACACGACTTCTAGTGACGTATACTAATCCAGTTTCATCTGCAAGGACCTAGATTTGGTAAACTATATGACAATTCAGGATACGTACGTTGGAAGGATAATGTGGCGTGACGACACATGGAATTCCACACATGTGAACCTGGGCCATTTGAGATTGGATGGCGGACCTAAAGCAGGGCCTCATCTATATAAGCATCGTGCGTTACTCTCCATCCATGGGAAAGATACTTACATCATTGAGTAAGGAACACAACTTTCACCGCTGCTATAAGCTGAAAGATACTCTGTTTGATACTACGTCTACCGAAAGAGTTTACACTATGGGAGGTCAAGCACCCACTAGATTTCTTCTATTCGGTAAGTGTTCTTATCATTATTCCTGTCTACATCCCGTCTGACGTCTAAAGGCAACGGTTGGGTTTCCGGCCAAATTCAGGATGCCGTAAGAGGAGGGAGTGATGAGCTGGTTGTCTCCCAAGCACGAATAGAAAACCGAGAAGAGGTTCTAAGGTCTGCCCTTCTTACCCCTTACAAATCTTTCCTTCACTTTCTGATTTAGTGGCACTCAGTGAGCTTGCCAGAGTAAGACCGTCCCATGTCATCAATGCCGCAGGAAAACGCGGTGATCCCAACGTGGATTGGTGCGAATCACATAGAGAGGAAACAATTCGTTCCAACATACTCGGTGCAGTGAACCTGGCTGATTGCTGCTTCATCCATGACGTGCACCTCACCCATTTGGGGTCGGGATGCATCTACGATTACAATGAGGACCATGCATGGGACGGTCCTGGCTATACAGAGGAGGATGAGCCAAACTTTACGAAAAGCTTCTATTCCAACACGAAGGTTTTATCTGAAAAGGTATGCTTGCATCATCCTTCCATTTTGAGAAACCAATGCAGCTGATTACCCCTTGGTAGGTTTTGAGGAACTACTCCAATGTGTTGATCCTCCGTATCCGCAACCCTATTGGCGCAGACTTGCAACCTAAAAACATGATTACCAAACTTGCTTCGTACAAGAAGTTGATCAACGTCCCGAATGTAAGTCAGAGCCACCCTTACCTCAGTTAGTACTGACAATGATCTAGTCAGGGAGCATTTTGCCCAGCCTGATTCCTGCCATGATCTTGCTCGCTAGACATAAGGAAACAGGAATATACAACTTTGTAAGTCCTTTCGATGGATTTAAGTTTCATGTCTAACTTAATGTAATGGAATAGACCAATCCTGGGCCGTTCACCCACAATGAGGTCATGGATCTGCTTAAGAAGCATATATGGCCTGAGCTTCAATGGGAAAACTTCACCGAAGAAGAGCAGAGAAAGGTTCTTATGGCTCCACGGTGCAACACAACTCTTGATGTTGGCAAGCTTCAAAAGAAGCTGTCTGAATATGGATATACGCTTCCCACCGCACATGAAGCAATGGAGGATGCCTTCATCAAGATCAAAGAAAGCGGAAATTTGAATGTATAATACCGGGTCTACGGAAGGTTTTGTGCTTATAAGGACAGTGAGAGTGGACATTTGGTTCTGCGCATTCGTACCTGTGATCTTAGAGGTTTCTCTGGGAGTTGAAAATTGAGGGTGAATAGAGTCGTTTTCTCGTAAAGTCTAATAATTATGATAACTGGATTTCTGTGCTTGAGTCCAAAACTGTCAGAACGTAATAAAGACCGTATTCCCATGCCCATTTGAAACGACCTAATGGGCCGGCTGTGTACCGGACAATCTCTTCTAGCCTGCCGATAAGAAAGGGTCACTCGGGACGAAATGAGAAGGTGTCATTTGGCGTGAGACGTATTAAATGCGGGCGCAGCTGTATCCTGATTAGGACTGGGTGCCGCGCGATCAAGTTGCACAAGATAAACTTCTCATGTAGAGAGCCAGATTGGAACGACAGGCCGAAGGTATCATTGACTCATTGGGTGGTGCAGCCCACTAATGGACAAGGCTTCAGCCAATGATGCTGTTAATCGCCTTGCGGTCTGGGCCGCCAGCAGCTGGAATGCAGGGGCAGTACAACCACCAAATTGTGAAGATCAGGGAGAAAGTCTCCTGTGCAAGCTGATTGGTTAACTGGACATTGATTGCGTTTCATCGTTTAGGTTCCTCCAATGAGGCATCCCCAGCTTGTCTCGCGGTCATAATTGGAATCGTCGCAAAGTGGCATGCATCATCGGGATATGGTTCACATCCCCATCAGCTTAGATGGACAAACATCCAATGTGAGGGATCCTGCAAAAAATGGTTGGAGTTGACGGCTAACCACTCAAGCACATTGACAACGCCTTACCATAATGGTAAGTGGCTACATCCTGCACATTCCGCCACACAATTTTTCAAGACTTTTGTGATCAGCTCCGTCACCTTTTTAAACTCTGCTAGTCCTGTATATCCTGAATATCCTGCGGGCGGCTCCTTCAGGCAAGGCTACGACGTCGGCCAAGACAGCCTTTGCTGACCGCAGGACACGCGCACTTGAAATTTATCACTGTACTCTATCCTCAGCCTGTCTTCAGTTATGTATATAGTACCGAGAAGATCTAGTTTGAGTGCTTTTGGCCCGAACCGGCTAGGCACAGAGAGTATGTACATGACGATTATTCCTCTGATTATTGCCGCTCCAGAAAAACTACCTTGCTACCATACTCCGTATCAAAGCTATACTGCAACCCCATATTCATCAGCGTTGCACCGGAGTAAGTCTGGTCACCATCAACAGTATATTGCGCCTCAGGGTCTAATCCCTGTAGCCGAACCCACGGCACGGCATGGTTGACATTTGGCTGGACCTGGAAGTAGAACAGAACAGCTTGGGCGCCATCCTCGGACACGAAAAATGCGGCAGGCCACTGGGAGTCTTGAGGCAGGCGTAGCCGGTACAGGTCTCCGTTCAAAACGATGGGGTTCACTTTCTCCGCCAGTGCAAGGAGCTCGGGGACTATGGCGTCACCCTCCACCGTTGCCGGGTCAAGCTCCAAGCCGAAAGAGCCACCCATCATAGCAACGTGAGCGCGGAAAGTAATAGGCACAGTGCGACCAGTTTGTGCATTAGGAACCGCGGACAGGTGGGCTCCCATTGCCGATGGCGGGTAGGCAAGTGAGGTCCCGAATTGAATGGTGATGCGATCGATCGCGTCGGTGTTGTCGGAGGTCCAGATTTGGGGGAAGTACTGCAGCACACCGGCATCAAATCGACCGCCGCCTGAGGCGCATCCTTCCCACAGGACATCTGGGAAGCGGGTGGTCAGAGTGTCGAACACCCGGTAGAGCCCGAGCATGTACTGGTGGTCGGTGGACGGGGAGGGAGTCTCGTGTATTCCCCGATTGTTGTCCCATTTAACATAGGAGATCCCTGGGGTTTGCAACAGGTTGGTCATGAAGTCTATTATGAAATCCTGCACAGCCGGGAGCGCCAAGTTGAGAACGAGCTGGTTCCGACGCTCGGTACGGGGGTAGGGCCCAGCATGAAGCGCCCAGTCCGGATGTTCGTGGTAGAGAGTGGAATTGGGGTTGACCATCTCGGGCTCCACCCAAATACCAAAACGAAGTTTTGTGGACTCTGTTCCATTGACGGTCATATTCGTAATGTCTTGCACGACTGGGGTCAACCCGTCTGGGAAGCGCGCTGGGTTGGGCATCCAGTCTCCCAGCCCGGCATCATCGGACACGCGAGGGTACTTGTCCCCAAACCAGCCGTCATCCATGACAAAGAGGTGGACACCCAGGGCAGCGGACTCTTCGGCCAGAGTCTCAATGCTGCTTTGGTTATAGTCGAAATAAACTCCTTCCCAGCTATTCAGGAGAACGGGACGGTCGGAAGTGGCGAACTTGCTCTTCATGAGGTGGTTTCGATATAGTCGGTGGAATTTGCGAGACACTGAGCCGAGCCCTTGGTCCGAGTATACTGCAACACACTCCGGGGAGGTTAGGGTCTCGCCAGGACCAAGGTTCCATGACAATTGATCTGGGTTGAAGCCCAACAGTGCCCGGGTGAAACCTTGCGATCCTTTCTCTATTTGGGCAAAGAAAGAGCCCGTATAGATAAGGTTAAAGCCCCATGCCTCGCCTTGCGATTCGGTAGTAGCTGGATCTACAATGGCAAAAAAAGGATTGTGAAGGTGAGAGGAATATCCAGTGCTGCTTCCGAACCTAATCCCTCGTCAGCAACGTCACATTGTCGGTTCTATGATAAGCGACTTACCCCTGGATGCCATACTGCACTTTGCTTCTCTGAACATTGGCCTCTCTGGCCCAGTCACCACGGAGGCTGACCAAGTCAAGGTCTTCGTAAGGGAAATCGATGCTTATACTTGCAAGGGCCTCGATGGTGATATTACCCGGGCCCTGGTTAGTCACATTGACACTCCTGACAATGGCATCATATTTTGGGAATATGGAATATGACAAGTCGGCGGCGACGGAGCTATAGTTGTCATAGAGATGGACTACCAAAGTCGTAGCGTCTTGTGCATCTCCAAATGTGGCTGGCAGGCCAGGCAAAGCATTCTTACCCGCAATCACCTCGTGCGACACATATTGGAGATCGCTAATAGTATAACCTGCCGATTCCCGGATACGAACGGCGGGAATGCGAAAATCACCACGGCCTTGGTCAGGGAACTCCCGACGGATTCGACCAGGCATGCCAACCCAGCCATTGACAGCGGGTTCCACTGGCGATGGGATTGTGCCGGTGACGACACCACCGAAGTGATCAGAGATCAAGTCTCCGGTGGTGCTGTTAACATGGAACCGATATGAGACATTGTCGCCGTTCAACGCAAAATCAGTGCCATTCGCAACGATCGCTATAAAATCAGCTTGCACTCTGATTGAAGATGCGGCGTTGTCGCATCCCTCACGACCCGCATGACATACCCTGTGAATTTGAAGCCCCAACTGCGGGAGCCGCTGCAGAACGACCGTATAATGTGAAGAGGCCCAGGGCCACCACAGCATGGGACGACCCGATCATGGTAATGATTTGTGGTGGGTGAGTCAAGCATTCCTTCCTCTCACCGTCCTTTTAACCCCGGACGGGGTTGACTGCATCCGGGGAAATATCGGAGGGTATCCCAGGTTGTTGCTGGCCATCTTTCCCAGCGCCGGCTTGGCACCCCCACGCCTTATTCCCTAAGGTGGCTGGGATCATCCTGCCATGCTCGTCAAGACTACCTGGGCGGAGAAGAGGGGACAACCTGGGGATTGTTATTGCACCGTCTTCGGCTTGGCTCGACGGTTTAAGCTGCAAGATCAGCTCATTGCAGTAGGTTTCTCCCCCTTGGCCGCAGAGTTGCCCCGGATGGTCCGGAAACGGGGATGCCGTTCTTCTTTCCGGGGCATTCGGTGTGCTGTTTGTTCAGTTTGCATGCACTAGTTTGGGCACTTGGGAAGGTAAAACAGAAAACGAGAGCAGGATCAGAAGAATACAATTAAAGTGAAAGAAAAGCATAATCACGCAATACACAAGTCATCCATATTTGGAGTGCTCACATTTTTGCCTACTGTTGGCTGAAAACAATAAAATCCATTGTCATGTTTGATAGCATACTTAGTTATGAATTAATTGTGCTCTCCAATTGAGTGGTTTTAGGAACGGGAGAACATATAACTTCGACCGCCAACTAATGGAAACAGTCCTGATGTTCCTAACTAACTAATTGAGGCAAATATTACTATGGGTCTTAGTACCCCATAGTAGGTTGTAGCAAGCCTAGTATCCTAAAATGCTAAATAGGCTTATTGACTATTGAACTCTGATATATAAAATAGAATTGTGGAAAGATAATACCAAAGATCAAACCACATGGCGAGTATGTCACGTGACTCGACGGTCGCAAAATCCAGAACCAATTCTTTGAAAGATAATGTGACACCTCGCATTCCATTATGTGTTTACCCACATAGAAAAATTCAATTTTACAGTTTCGCGCCCAAGTTGACATGGATCGACTTGATGCTGGAGTACGCTGCCAGTCCAGCTTCCCCGATCCACTCTGCTTAACACCTCCGAACGGAGTGCGCGAGTCACTGTCATTGGTGCTAGTGATCCATACCGTCCCGCTTTCCGTTCTTCGGGCCAGTTGATGGGCTCGTTCAATATTCTGCGTGAAAATCGAGCACTCCAGACCATAAACTGAGTTGTTAGCCTTGATAATGGCCTGACCTTCCGTCCCAAATGCTGAGATGACGACTACAGGGCTGAAGATTTCCTCCCGGGAGATAATCATATCATCGGTAACATCAGCAAAGATTGTCGGAAGTATGAAGAAGCCCGGGCCTCCTTGATTCAATGGCGTTCCGCCCAGCACAAGACGAGCACCTTGCCTGACACCAGAGAGGATGTATGACATTACTTGGTCAACTTCAGTCTTGGAGATTTGCGGTCCTTGGGATATGTCCTCGCCAAACTGATCGCCAACTTTGCTGCTTTTCGCGGTATATTCTCTAAAAGCGGCAATGAACTGCTCATAGACATCTTCTTGTACGAGAATCCGACTCGTACCGGAGCAAATCTGGCCCTGGTTGCTCATGATACCAACGTGTGCCCATTTGACTGCTTGGTCTAGATCTGCATCGTTGAACATAAGTAGCGGGGACTTGCCACCGGTCTCGAGGGTAATGTTTTTGGTATTTGATGCAGCGAATGCCATAATCTTCTGTCCAGTGGTGGTACTCCCTGTAAAAGCAACCTTGCCGATCCCTGGATGACTCGCAATTGCTGCTCCGGCGCACATGGCCGCGGGGGTGAAGGGGAGCTGGACAGGAAGGTCTAGATTGGAGACGATCAGGTACAGTTCCCATCGTTACCATGACCTACCCTACCTTACCTGCTGGAGTACACATCAATTAGCACGGGTGATACCGATTCTTCCACTAAGGCAGGGCCTGCCAATTCTGGGGCTAGGCCATAATAACCAGCCATCCTGGATTCACTTTTCTTTGTCAAAAATCTACCAGCCAGCCCGGCGTAGCACTAACGTTAGATCTAGCCGGAGTCGGAAACAGTACATAGATACTTCCAATAAATGGTCAGATAAGTCTAGCTGCTATGCTGCCAGAACAGTGCCAGATTATTCCGGTTAGTAGGTGCAGTACCCATTACTACCTGCCACATAATGTTTCAATATGTACCATATCAGCTTATCGGGTCTCACACTCACTCGTTTTTCCTATCTGTGTTGGACTTCATCTAGCACCACAGCATCGAGAATCTCGGGCCGGGCCTTTTTCTTGGCAACGGAAGACCGACGGGAAATCGGTCGATCGATGTACAGTGTTTATCATCAATACAGTGGGTTCTTATGGCGTAATGTGCTGTAAGAAAGCGGGTTAATTCATCTATCAATGCAGGAGCCGGGGAAGTGAAAGCTGGTTTTCCAGTCACCAGTACTCTGCAATCTATTTCCTGTCTTTCTAGGCTCCAGTGTTTTTTCACTCACAGAGTTCCAAGTGTGCTGTGTCCATTTTCCAGTGTCGGAATATTATTATTATGTCTTTCCAGTTGAATCAGGTTCCCAAAAAAACTTTGGGCGTGGTATAGCAGCATTACCATTATAGATACAATTTCTGGTAGCAGGACTATTGATGTTCTCGGCCTTCCGATGGGGGTATGAGCCTTAGGGGCGCTTGAAGGGGATGCTGTACGTAATTCCTGAGGGCTTAATATTTGTTCACGACGGCAACTACCCTTTGGGTCCAGTTGAACAGGCGGCTCTTATCTGTGGATTAACTAGGTCTAATATATCATGGAAGTGTATTGCCCGTATCTTAATCGGACACAAGCAGTGTCGCTCGGATTCGACCACTACGGATACACAACGCCGTTTGAGCACAGGCCTCATCCCCTAGGAAGCGTTAGTGCAAATCATAATCAAGAATTCGCCGACTGACCATGAATAGTGATTGCGAGACATGATAACGAAAGATCAGACATAAGTAGGCCGTTTGAGGCGAACAGTGATGTCTTTTCTCACCTGGTCTATCTTCCCACAACCACGATATTTATAATACCAACTGCTTTCACGGATAGAAAAACACAAGGAAAGATATCAAGCTGATTCCATATCGAGTCATGGATATTCTCTTGTCAAGCTATCTGCATGATGAGAGAGCACGCACTTCCATCGTTGAGCCAAATATCCAGCACAGGCTTGCTCTAACTCAAGCCTGGGACATCGCCCAAGGCTCTAGAGTGCTCGACATCGGATGTGGCCAAGGCGAATCGAGCCTAGTTCTCGCATTGATCAACGGTTCTCATGGTCAAATTACAGCCATCGACACGGCCCCGCCTGATTACGGTGGACCATATACCGTCGAAAAATCGCAGAAGCACATCCAGGCGTCCACGCTAGGGCAGCGTATCCAGTTTTTCCGCACCGACACGGCCGGTCTGCTTTCCCAACCCACGAGCACCGATACATTTGATGCGGCCGTACTGTGCCACACTTTGTGGTATTCTCCCGACCATGCGAGCATTGCCCAGGTCTTCCAGCTTCTAGCCGATGCGAAAGTACGCTATCTGTGCCTGGCGGAGTACGGATTTCGCGCCTCGCGACCCGCACAAGTCCCACATATTCTGGCTGCGCGAGCGCAAGCCCAGTACCATTCCCTACGCAAGTCCGCCGCGACAGGGGCGAGGGAGCCCAACGTAAACAATTAGAACATTGACGCGGACCTGGATGGTGGGGGCAATCAGACCACGACCCTTTTCATCGACATCGGGGGGCGGGATGGATCCTTACTGCGTTGCCCTAATCGACAAACTGGGCCCTCTGTTAGGAACGAGGAGGAGCATTATCCCGCAAGACGTCCCGGCCGCCCTCTCCTACGCTATTTCGCACCCCCGCACCGAACCCTTGACCCATGACCTTTGGAACCCGCAACCGATGAAAGGCGCGAGCGTCTATTACATGCGGAACGTGCTGCATGACCACCCGGACGACAAGTGTGTGCAGCTGCTGCGGCTCCAGAGTGCGGCCATGGCGACAGATGGATCGTCGAAACTGCTGATCAACGATAGTTCTCCGTGAGACTGGCGCTGGGCCTCGGGTGGTTGAGATCGATATCGCCATGATGGCGTGCTTGGCGGCCAGGGAGCGAACTAAAGACGAGTGGGGTAACCTCGTTCGCGCCGCAAGGCTGCCCTTGGTGGAAACGTTTACCTACGCGACCGACTTAGGCTAGAGTCTCATGGTGGTCAAACGGCTTTAAATTCCACCGGGTAATAAAAACATTGGTAAAGATAAGCTAGCTGGTTGGCTGAAATTGTTTGCGTCCCGCATGTTCTCAGTGCTGTCACATTCATATGTATGAAATGTCACAGGAAGACTCTTCGTACTTTGTCGATCGGTGCATATGTCAGTCGCGCTAAAATGATTGGAACTTCTATCTGCTTCTGCTTTCGCTTTCCTTTGTCTAGCACATTGCTATGCATTAGTGCTGACGGGGGCAACTGGAGACGACCAAGACAAAAGGCATGTAATGTGTAGGTTAATATCCGCATTCGTGGATGTCCCTATGTCTCTATTTGCACTTCGACTAATAATTAGGAACACCGAAAAACCAACGGAAGCATAAAGTATTTCCCTGTCCCACACCTAGGACCGCCCAGTCTCTCAGTACATACCTCTATCCCCAACCTTCATATCAACTGTCACGATGGCTGATACTGTGAATGCACTGACCTCTGCTGTCAACAGCACCCTAGCCAAGCTTACCCCCGGGGATGAAATCGCGGAAGCAGATCGGTACCAGCTTCTGGATGCCATCGACAAGCTCCGCGTTGCCGTGGAACCACCTCTCCTCACCGTTCGCAATCTTTGCTCTGACGTAAGTCATCGGCATTATCTGTTACAAACATGCTCTCAAACTAATGCTTATCACAACCTGAAGCACCATGGCCTGGTTGCCATTCGGGTCGCCATGGCAATGGGTATATTTGATGCGTTTGCCTCGGCGAAGAACGGCGAAATGAACGCCGATGCCCTGGACGAGAACACCAAGGGGGGTAAAGCCCTCTTAGGTAAGTCCTTGTCTTGGATTTTTTTTTTTTTCCCTTTTTCCTTGTCTTTTCTTTTCTTTGTCTCTTTCTCCGTCTACGGGCTTTACAACTTTTGAAAGCCTCTGTCCGATATCTTCCCATCTCTTCCTAAATTTCCCGGGTCCCCTTTGTTCTCCTCTCATTTCCCAGCTTCCTTGCCCATTCAAGCGATATTATGGGTCAGAGGTCCTGTCCGTTTGCTTGTGGTCACGACCTTTTTTGTTTGATTTCTATATCATTGCTTTTTATTTTCTGTGAAGATACATCCCTGATAGGTAGGATATGTATATTAATGATCATTCGCTTCTGCAGTGCGTATCATGCGGGTGGTGTGTGCGAACCACGTTTTCGAAGAGACGGGGGTGGAGAGATACCGGGCGCTGCCGCTAGCGATCATGTTCGCTTCTAATAGTCCGCCCAGTGAGGTCATCAAACATTTGTAGGTCCCTTTTGCCATCCCTTGAATGGAAAAGGATCGTAACTTACATATATCAAGCCATTCGGACATGTAGGCTTCGGTCCACTCCTATGACTATTTTGAGGCAAGGGGATACCGTAACCCTCAAGATGCCTACGACACGACATTCCAGCTTGCCTTTGAGACGAAGGAACATTACTTTGAGTGGATACAGCACGACCCAGAGGAGCTACATGCCTTCAATACAGTGATGGAGATTGGCAATCGCTCCTTGGAAGGTGTGCAATGGTATGACTACTATCCATGGCAGGAGAACCTGGCCACTACTGGCGACACAAACCGTGTCCTCCTGGTAGATATCGGCGGTGGCAGGGGCCACGACCTTTCCGGCTTCAAGCGCAAGTATCCCGAGATAAGAGACCACCTGATCGTGCAGGACCTTCCCAAGGTCATTGAGGACATCCTAGAGCCGCTCATTGAAGGTGTACAACCTATGGGTTATAATATGTTTGACCCACAACCCATTAGAGGGGCAAAGGCATACTATATGCGAACGGTATTACATGATTGGCCTGATAAACAGGCCCTGGAGGTTCTTAGGCGTGTTCACGACGCCATGGCCGCCGACTCAGTGCTACTGATCAATGAGAATGTCCTGCCCGAGATCAAAGCACCCGAATTTTCATCCTCAATGGATAGCATCATGATGGAGCTCTATGGATCGCTGGAACGGACAGAGAGGTAGTGGCTAGGACTATTAGAGAAGGCTCAATTCAAGGTAGTCAAAGTATGGCGGTCGGGCTTTCAGGGATTTGGATCCAATGCGTTATTCGAGGCGGTGCCTGTTTGAAGAGGGGGGGTGGGGGTGTGGGGGTGGATCTTATGCGTAGATAATACATCTGGAATTCGTGCAGCTGGCGGGTTGCAACCCAAAAGGGGCTCGGTGCATGGCGCAGTTGTTGGGAAGCAGAGAGAATCCTTTGGATCTGTCCTTTCCATCCCGAAATTGTGATCCTAGTCTTGAAAATTTATCTGGCGATGCCCATTTTCGTAATGCTGCAGCGTCGATCTCCCGACTTGTCAAAAAATCGATGGGCCTGTTCGAAGACGCGCCCCATCTACCCGATGGCCGCTAATCACCGCCGTACCCATTTTGATTCCGCTAGTGTACCAGGTTAGGTGGGGTACGCCCAGTAGCAGCCAAAGTCCAGCCCAACCCCCACGGCGCATTCAATGTCCTTGGCCACAATAGTGTGGCCAGGAATTGGTCAGTAGAGTGACAATAACAATACTTGTCTCGTTACAATAAACTAGCAGCAATAAGTACAACTGGAGCTATTACTGCTATTTGACCGACTTCTGCCCCTTTTCGTTCTTCACGTTGGCACCTCCAGCGGGAACGCGTGTAAAAATTGTCTTTTATTCGACACAAATATATGAGATGATCACATCAACGTTCTACAACTGTAATGTTCATATTCCAATTGGTTTGGGCAAAAAGAGTCGGATTTCGCACACGAGCGCATTTGGGAACTAATCTACTTTACAAGAGACCTCCCCTTTTCTCCTATCAAGTCACCTCGTCCGATCATTGCACCAAGCCATCAATGTTTCCCATAAGCCCAGTCTTTCGTTAGGATATTTTCTAGAGTTAAATTCTGTACACTCCCAGAGTCTCATCGCATGTGGTCCGTAACTTTCGTCATTCCACTCCTCGTCCGGCGGAAATGGCGAGGGAACAAAGACTATGCGCAGCGCATATAGTGAGCCATTCAAGATCTTATGCTTGACGTCGAATTGGCTCCTAAAGCGCCCGTGCTCAATTGTCATATGATACGTTTTTGCGCAAAATGCCCCTTCGTTTAGCCAATTTTCATTGACTTTCCCTTTGTACCAGATATCGTGTGGTCGTCGCTTTGTGAGTGTCATCTCGATGGTAAAGTCGCCAATTACCTTCGACTGCTGTCTACCATTGCCTAGGTCGATGGTCTGATTGAGATACGCAGAGTTGTGCGATTTCCACTCAAATTCGGCAAAAATCCAACAAGTGTACTCGGTAGAGCAAAATAGCTGCATGGAAAGGGTCATTTTGTGCGGAAAGGAGGCTACTCAATTGCTGCACTCACCTTGCCTGTTCCATCTTCATGAAAGGTGATCTCACTTGAGCCGTCATTCCAAATCCATGGCCCTTCACAAAGGATGGACCGGACTGTGTCGGTCCAGGTCATTAGCTCTGCGTGGGAAGCCCCCCAATTTTGGCTGTTGCAGCAATGATGTCCTCCTAGGGAAATTTCAAGGGATTTTGGTATTTTCAAGTTGATTGCGTCCGGATGGGGGTTGGATCGTGGGATGGTTGACGGGGATGTGGCAGATGATGAGAGCAACAGTCCTTTCACGCCACACGAGGCTTAGGTTAAGGGCGGAAGATAAGGGTCCCGCTAGCCCGTGGTGGGAAGAGGCTAAAGGCACCTCTGTACCACACGATAAGGGGATGGTCCGGGTTTCCCGTGGGCCCCATTTTGTACGGGCGGTGCGTAAGCCATTCCCAATGTCAATTACATGGCCTGTCAATTGTAGCACCGTTGACCAGGAATTCAAAATATCTCAATCTCTCGGTGGAATACCCCAGCGATTACAGTCCCTTGTCTGCACCCGCAACTCGTTGGGTGGCGTGCAGGCTTCTGTCGACACCACACCGGCATTCAGCTAGGAGATGTTGTCTACCTCACACCAGCACCTGGACAACGGAAAGCTCCGGACAGATACGGGTATGGATTGAAGACTGGGCGATGATTCATTGTTTATACCTTTACTTACATTCATGAACTAGCCACTATGTTATTTATGCAGAGCATAGCAAGTGCGATGTCGCCAATAAGGCCTGGATCCCGGAATCATACGACGGAAAGAAACTCTGGTATAACCCTCACAGAATAGACTCCCACCTCGAAGCAAACTAGCACCAAATGCTAGATGAGACACTTCGACTATCAGTTATCTCAGGCGATGATGCTGTACTGCAATTGGGAATACCAAAGCACATGCTGGGTAAAACGGGTCAGCTTGGTTTGTTAGCAACCTGCAAGGCGAAGGCGTCGGAGCTTCCTCGACAACATGTTGACTACAAATCACTGCTGAGTGTTGTGGGGACCCCACAGTAGGCAGTAAACCTTTTTTCGAAGAAGGATTATAGGCAGCCACTGTGTGTATCCCGCTTGAGACCCGGTGGGTAGTGCCGGGGTTCAGGTAACAGAAAGAATACAAGTAGAAAGCGTAATGGTTAAAAAATTCGCATAAGGCTCACTAGTACTAAATTTTTATTGTGAATGCGGTTGTGCTCTGTTGTAAGAATATTAGTAATGTATTTTGATTCATCATCGCTGGCTGCAGTATGCCCCTTGTAGATATATTTCTTGGCAAGACAGAGGGGAGAAAGAGTATCCATGATATGTTCGTTTTGGTATATACCTGATCAAAGTCATTACATAATAATCAACTGATTCAATGAAAATATTAAAATCTGAGGTCCGATCAGCCACAGTTCGAACTTACTGATCAAATTATCCTTTCTCAAATCAAAGGACCAATATGTATTGTCAAATATGTTTCTAGGTTTAGTAAATATCCCCCTTTTTTTGCCGGGGGGGAACCGAAAGGCTTGGCGGGATTCAGATAATTTGTTCCCACAACCAGAGCGATCGACTCCCCTTCCTTAGATGCGTCCGGCATGGTCCACCTGTTGCCCACCTGCTGTCCACCCTGATATTTCTCACACTTTCATATCTTCACACAAACAATGCCACCTGTCACCAGAGCGCAAGCAAAACATGAATTTCCAAAATTCTTTCCAGAAGCTTCCCGCGACGCGTCAACTTTCGCGCTGAGGCAGCCGCATAGAACCGGGAAACACGCCAAGTTGGTCGATTGGATCGTATTGAACCCAGGCACAGGCGCGACGCATCACGATACAGCCGACCCCATTACTAGACTCTTCCAAAATATTTTCAAGCAATCTGATTACCTTCGTCATCTAAGATTTCGACGGACGTACCCCGTGGAAGCACCACACACTGAATGGCTCATGCTGTGTTAGTCTCCCAAGTCACATTTCTGTCAAGCAAATTGGAACATCCACGAAAATAAAGATCTGACGTCGTTCCCAGCGTGGAGCTCTGCGGATATGCGCAACGAATTTATCAACTCAGACGAGTACCAGTGCCTTACCGAGACCCTTGCCGCTTGGGCTTCCGAGCGATCCGTCCAAGTATCTATGATCGATCTGTCCCAGACACTTGGGGCTGCATTCCATGAAGGCGCGTTCCGGAACCAGTATGTCGGTGCAATAGAGTACTACGAGCTCATGGCCGTGTATTTTCCTGAGGATCTGGCGCGCTCACAGATTCAGGAGCTGAACCGCACCAATCCATACAATCTTGGAATTCTCATTGGCTCTGATGTGTACCCCTTGGCAGGGCTAACGGACTGGCAGCATGGATGGCTTGATCGACCGGTGCTCTTCCAAGGGCAACGTGCCCGGTGTCTCGTCTACTTGCTGCGGTGGGAGAATGCCGACCGCGAGCACGAGTACAAAAATTTCCACGTTAAGGTTAACAAGAACATTGTAGATTACTGGAAGGAATTTGCCACCACATTGAAGCAGAATGGGATGTTTGGCTACGAATCGCAACATGCATCAATACTTAGACAGTCGGTCGGATCGATGCTAGGTGACTAGAAGATGTTGAAGTTGTGAGAATCCATGGAAACGTAGTTAGAGATCGCGGAAAACAGGTTTATTCATAGATCGATACACAGAAGTAAATTCTGATCCCTCGTCGTGGACCCTTTCGCCCAGACGTTTATTACACTTGTTGACCTGGCATTACGGTTTGGGTTATGACATCCAACGTTTCCGGTGCAGTACTTAATTTGTGGTAGATAACCGATGTAAACATCCAGAAATTCATGTACCAATGCATCGAGAAAAGGACAAGACGCTCTTACGGAACGTATAAAGCCACTACCTGGCGTGTATGCTGGTTGAATAACTCACATTCTTCCCAATGGCAGAGAAAATTCGGAGATGTAATGGGTAATATCTGGCATTATCTAATCGAGTTCAAATCGCCTCATGAACTTGGGATCGACGAGGCGCGCGTGGCAGATTCTGGCTTCGTCGCATCTGCCTGTGGTCACGTACGAATGCAGGGTATCTACTCCAACAAGCATATATGCACTATAATCTACTTATGGCGACGCATAAAATGACGGCTTAGGGTTCGAACGTCGGTCCTTCACTTTTTGGCGGGGGATTTCCTGATTTCTGGGATTGATCAAGATGAAATTAGTATGCTTGCCGAAATATGACTGCCTTGATTTACTAAAGGGGCTGACTAGTCTATCAGAGAGGGAAAAGAGAGCAAAAGCAGTCAGCCAAGGGTTACATCTTCGAAGTATAGTTCTCGTAGAAGCTTGTGCTAGAATAATCGCATTACAAGGCACGTAAAATGCGATATCGAAAACAGACTATCTGGTAAAATTGAACAATACACCATGCATCCTACTCCATCTGTGACCGGGTGCTTGAATCTTAAACTCATATAGAGCCTCTTTCTATGTCATATGACGCCTTGAATTACCATTAGAAACCCTATGCAAATCCTAAATCTAGAGTATATTTTCATTGCTTAGGGAAAGGAGAGAACTAGATATTTAGATACAAAAGCAAGTGAAACGTACACATGTATATAAGCTTAGTCTTGTGTGTTACATGGATAACATATAGAGCTAAGATAACCCTTCCACGAAAAGAAAAGAATACACGACTGTTATGATACTATTATCAGAAGACATTACAACATATAACGTATTCCTTACATGTATCGGACCTTCTACATGATGAGTCGCTGTTCCAGACACGGGTAAGATAGTTTTCAACAGCTTTTACTTAAGCTACTCGCACCTATAGCTCGAACAGCTCTGGAGACGGGGAAAAAAGTACTGAATAGCATTGGAAATGACCACCAGTATTATTCACCCGCGGACCTCTATCTAGGCTTATCGAAGAAGGCGTAAGGTCCTTGTGCAGTATGCAACATTATTCCATGACCGATTTCTGTGTAGAACAGGATGCTGCAAAGCAGTATTTGACTATGTAGCCATGCCCCTCACCGACTCACCGACTCAACATCTTCACCATTTCATCTCTCCAGAGACCACCATACCTCCATTGTATCACTAGGCCAGCAGTCGCACAAATCTGCGCTGCAACACATATTGTGAAAGCCACTCCGCATCCGACACCATTCACCATGGGCATAACAAAACTCGAGCCCCCAGCAGCCAGGCAGCAACGTGCCATATTCAAACTTGCGCTTGCAGCAGCACTACTATCATAGAATACATCCACTAGATAGGTTGTTACTATGGATTGGTTGGATACAGCTGTCCACCCAGTTATAAACGATGAGATAATGGGGATCGAGATGTGGACATGGGACGAATACTGAATAGTCCAGCCGAATAGCATGACTGAGAGACATTGTAGACCAGCAAAGATAGGAACCAGACGAAGACGGGCTCGTTCAAGTGGAAAGCCCTTCTCTTCCCCTGAGAGTGTTGTTTCTGCGAGATGTCGTTCTTTGATACGGCGATAATCCTTGTCGAGAATCCTACCCGTTATGAGGGTTCCAACCATAGATCCTGCACCATTGGCGATGAAGGTTAATCCGGATTGAATTTCTGTCAAACCATAATGTTCCTTGAAAAGGGTTGCCATAGCCGTGATCGTCATTTGCCAGACGGCGAAGTATACAGCAAAGAAAAGTACCAGCGGAGCTGCTTGTTTGCTGATCAAGATGCGGATGGGTCCTAAAAGGTCAGTTCGTTTCTTGGCGGCCAGCTGGTTATATGCTGCAGTTTCGCTCCAATTTGTTTTGGTGAAGTGCTGGTAGAGTGTAAGGGGATAACTTCCAATCCTTGACGAGGGAAGTTGAGCACCATTTCCCACGATAGACCTCAACGTCTCAGGAAGAAAGAGAGCGATCATGGTAAGCAATACCCCGCTGTAAACAGTGAGAAACCAGAATATAGTTCTCCATCCAAGCGACCCTGCAAGTGCCCCCCCTATAACAGGCCCAATGGCAATGGAAATCAACATCATTCCTTGAAAGAATCCCATGAACCCCCCACGATCTTCTCGTGTAGTAAAGTCCCCAATCACACCTGATCCAATAGCAACCGTACTAGCAGATCCAGTACTCTGCAAGCATCGGAAAACGACAAGCATGGCATAGTTCTTGGTCTCTGCGAGGCCGATACATGCACAGACTGCTACGAACAGGGTACCGATGTATGCTGTTCGGCGACCTTTAACGTCTGAAATCGGTCCCCAGAGACTAGGCGCTACGCCTTGGAAGGTAAGATAGGCGGTAATCGAAAGGTTGACAAGCTCAACAGAGACATTCAAACCCTGGGCAATGGAGGGCACCGCAGGGAAATAAATATTTGATGCCAGTGTTGAGACTGATTTTATTAGACGTGTCTGCAGTATTGTCATCTGCGTGGATAGTGACTTACGTGTAGCAGCGGTGGACACAAGCACGGCTAACAAACGCTTCTGGGATTTATCAAAGATCGTATGCGGGGGCGCAGGCCTCTCAGAAGTCACTGCATCAGCAGTCGATATATCGCTGTGGCTGGCTGACATGGTGTGTGGATAATGTTAGTCCCTATTACCTTAGAAAGGAACCCCATGCCTTTATCACACAGGAGAATCGTGCAAACCCCCTTCAATCGTATCCTCGTTGACTCGGAGTTGCCGACTCAGCTGAGATTGTTGATAGACATGGTATTTCCAAAATAGGTTGGGATATGTATATATGGTGGCACGACAGAAATTATTCGTCGTTGAGTAATTAATTTAGGATGAAAGGTGACCAATTACTGCAAGTAGGAAGCTTTGCCACCGGCTCGCACGGCAATTTTCATCAAAAATCGGGATTTGACCCTGGATCTATCACAAACCGGGATTTAACCATGAATCTATCACAAACCGGGATTTGACCCATGAATCGAGTTACCATCTTAGGATATTTTTTGCTTTTGTTATCGGATCTGCGTAAGATAAGCGACATGATCTCGTGCATTATCACGATCGAGATCGTGACGAATGACGAGAGTATGTTACACAGCATGAAGGATCTATCTGACCATCACCTGTTATCGGAATGGTAAAGTTGTCGTTCATTGGATGGGAGAGCTATGGACGGTTTAATGTATTATGCTATAGCAGTACAGCACCGTGGCTTTCCTTGTTTATGGTTCACTGAATTGTACCTTCTTAGTCTCATGTGAACCAACCGGAGAATGCTCATAGTAATACTGACGGCTTTCTTGGCCATGCTTCATATATAAATAACATGATTCGTGCCACCATTACCTTCCCACTTTCCAACAACCTAGCCTACTTGTTTCTTCATATGAAAGGCGACCGGCTATTTATCCTGACACCTTGTCCAGCAGACAAATAGTGCTATTTGCTCTACACAAGCGATATTCATCCCTACCGAACAGGACAAAATGTATATCTAGTCCGAATTATCCCCCTACTGCAGAGCCTACTAGCTAATACAGATTGTAATTCCCAGGCTACCTACGCCGTCGGACAAATATTATGCTTCTCCTCGGCCGTATGTATACAATAGGAACTGGCCTACTCAGACTTTGACTCAAGCTCCGCGATGGCTTTCAACCGACCTCAGAGATGGCAACCAGGCATTAGTCCAGGTAAGTTACTCCACATATACCGCTATCTCAATCTGCTAATTCAAAAAGCCAATGAATGGTGATGACAAACTACGCTATTTCCAAACCCTAGTCAAGCTGGGATACAAGGAGATCGAGGTCTCTTATCCCTCTGCCTCACAGACCGAGTTCAATTTCACCCGACACCTCATAAGTACCCCTGGTACTGTGCCTGATGACACGTGGATCCAAGTCATGGCGCCTTGTCGCGAGGAACTTATACGAAGGACGATTGAGGCTGTTCGGGGTGCAAGGAAAGTCATTTTGCACATCCACCTCTCTACGTCTGATCTTTTCCGCGAAGTTGTCTTCAAAATGACAAAGGGGGACATAATAGACCTCGCTGTTCGGTGTGTAATGAAGATTCGTGAACTCACGAAAGAATCCTCGGATGCTGAGATGCACAAAACTAAATGGACGATTGAGTTTACACTGGAGAACTTTCAAGATACATCCGTGGAATACGCAATTGAAATTTGCGAAGCTGTGAAATTAGCCTGGGAACCCACTACTGAGAACAAAATCATCTTCAATCTTCCATCGACTGTCGAAGTAACAATGCCAAACGTGTTCGCCGACCAGATCGAGCTCTTCTGCCGCGGTATCTCCGAGCGAGAAAAGGTCTGCGTATCAGTTCATCCCCACAATGACCGAGGATGCGGCGTGGCAGCAGCCGAGATGGCTCAGTTGGCTGGTGCAGACCGAGTTGAAGGATGTCTATTCGGGAATGGCGAACGCACTGGAAATGTCGATCTCGTCACGTTGGCCCTCAATTTATATACTCACGGTGTTTCACCCAGAGTTAACCTGAGCAATTTGAACGAGGTTGTCGCTATGGTGGAGGAGTGCACAAAGATCGCAGTCCATCCTAGAGCACCCTATGCAGGAAAATATGTATTTTGCACATTTACCGGTACGCACCAGGATGCCATACGAAAGGGATATAACAAACTCAAAGAAAGTGAGAGACTTGGTGCTACACGGGCATCCAAGTGGAAAATGCCATATCTCTCCATGGATCCAGTTGATCTGGGAAGGCAACACGAAGCTATTGTGAGGGTGAACTCTCAAAGTGGCAAAGGCGGCGTTGCCTGGCTTCTCAAAGAGAGTCTTAATATTGATATGCCGCGAGATTTGGAAATTGAATTTACGCAGGTCGTGAAAGCACATGCGAATACCAGTGGCTCTGAGGTTACCCGGGAGACTATATGTCGCTTGTTCCGGAAACACTATATGCATGTTGAACCTGAACGATTCCGGCTGCTGAATTGCAGAGCCAGCCAGCCCAAAGGAAATCGGGATGCTACATACGTCCAACTGAAGATTTCAGTACAGGGCTCAGACCGTGAACTTGAAGCAACTGGAGGTGAACTATTACCTACCATACTTGATGCCCTTAGGTCAGTCGGTTACGACTACGAGGTACTGGACAACCAACTGCAATATATAGCCAGCCAGGATACGATGACGTCTTTTATCAGACTGGCTACAGCTGGAAACATCGCTTCATGGGGCGTGGGCATGCATAAGAACACAAATTGGGCTGTCTCACAAGCAGTAAGTCAAGTAGATGTGAGGGACTGGCCACCACGTTAACAGATCTATAGATATTGGTGGCAGGCCAAAAGATAATGGCAAGCCAACTCAACGATAATCTGTCCAATTAGACGCTGTCTATGATGCGTGTTATGGCGACCGATTGGGGCACCGGTCTGCGGTTGAGCAACTAAATTGGTGATGCACTTGCGCGTATTTACTCTGTTTATGCTATTGTCTAATTATGCAGATGAGTACCGCTGCGGATAGTATTGTGTCAGTCGGTAGTGGAACATATGTTGATTTATTGACTACTACTAGGAAATAGATTCTGGCGAAGAGGCACAGAAAGGTAGTATATTAGATTACTCGTTATATGAGGACTAATAGTACGATGATGGAGAATATGATATTGATCATGGAAACGATAACCAGGATTCATATGAAGAGAGGGCCAATAGTACGAAGAATATATTAATATGATATTCATGGTTCAAAAGATGATCTCTTGTCATGCATACTGCTCTTTATTTACAATACTACGGAGTTGAAATACCATAAAACATACAGAAGCGGTAGCCGGTCGGTTGTTATCTCACTGGATAGAAATACTCATGACATCTTGTTTCTCCACCCTGTTAGTGCCGTTAGGCAAAAGTCGTCACGACTCTTATTTACTTCCAGCCGAGAACCCCACAGTGCAACGCCGCATACCACGCATCCCCAAGCTCGGCCCAATTATTCACAGCAAGTAGTGTGTGCTGAATTCCTTCTTCGGAGATGCCCGCACGCAACCAGCCCTGTCCCCGTGGATCTTACTTCTGCAACTGACTCTCAGCAAGATTAGCTAGCCACTCCCTAGCCTCTCGGCCTGAATGAAAGGCAGTACCAACGCCGATGCGAAGACAGCCAGCGTTGGCATCGAACTCTGTTCTGCAGGACAGGGTTTGCATGATTGCGGCTGTTGAATCACCGTCGTGGCTCCAGATACCCTCAGAGCCATACACTGCCTGATTGACGTCCTGTACCCATACGCGATCTAGGTTTAGCCTTGGTGGGTAGAACTGCTAACCCGGTCCATCACACGTGACAGGGATACCACCAGGTTATAGGACTCGTTGCATTTCGGACATCGCCCTGACGGAGAAATCTGGTGGCAGCAAGTAAAAGGAACACTTGAACACGAAATACGACATCAAATGCCTCGTCCGGATAGGGCAGCGTTTTGAGGATGTCCCCTTCGTCGAAGTTAAGGATGCTTGGCAGCCATATAACAGGCAGCCTTCTCTGCTATAATCTTCGCTTGCCGCAGGACGGCTGGCGACAACCCTAAGCCAATCGTCCAGTTTTTGGTGGTATATCTGGTAAAGCCTCGGTTCATTCCCTAGTGCCCTGTTTAGATCCTGGACTTTGTTCGGAAATGAAAAAAATCTCAGAAGTTGCTTTTTCAGAATTTACCTCTTATATGTGGTCCATGCATGGAGTGGTCATCAAGATATAAGCGCTAAATACCTGGCTTGAAACCGAGTGAGCCAGGTTTACAGCCCTGCCCGGTTTAGAACTCACTCCGCGTCAGCCAAGGATATATAGTATGAAACATATTTCATCGTCGTTGCATCTTGACAGTGTCTTGATGAAATCTAAAACTGCCCTGAATCGTATGATACTAGTAATAGTTATAGGGTGCGTTTTAAATAATAGTGACGCCTTGACTGGATAGCATAAGCATCTCTTTTATGCATAATCGGATCATTCTTTCTTTCATGCCTAGTAGTTTACTTGTCCAGTTCATATAATCATAGCCTTCAGTTCCCCCAGCGCGCGAGCAAGGAAGAGAGTAGTTCACTTCGCCGCTCCAGATAGAACCCGTTATGAATCAAGAGCTCTAGTCTATGCAGAGGTTACCTCCACCTTGTTTATATTAGGATCAGTAGAAATATCACTTTGTTACTAGCTTTGGCTCAGCCGGCATATAGGCTATCGGGACCTATAGAGACCACGTTATCCTGCGCCTGCATTTCGAGGCGGAAACAGAATTAAATCCCATCTCCAATCACAGTATCCTTGATATTATGACCGCGCTAGTACAGCCCGTGAACAAGATGCCATGGTTGGTTCATGCAATATAGCCCCCAGGTAAACGAATGTTGTACGTGTGGTGATCATGCTGTATATACTAATGGCTATAGTAGAGTTTGTATCGCAACCCGGGGCTTAATGGCACAATTGACTGAAGTGAGGGTCGTGAGTACCATACCAGTTTTAGCACTGATCGAATGTTTGACAGTATAGAAGCTGGGAACGAAAAGTTGGACAGCTGCAGTACAGCTCCAGTAATAAATTGTGAGAGGCACTACTGCCACACCACTTGACTTCCCTCATGCCACAACCTGCCGCCTACCTTAGCAGGTAAAGTACCGTCCCCATACGGTAAGTCTTGGGTTCTAAAGAGGGCACAAAGCAACCCCGTTCAACTTTAGTCCGCATTATACCTGAGGTATTCACTATTAGTCAGGCATTATTCCTACAAATAGGACGATACAGTTCTGCCGGCTTCAACACATGGGCCTGGGCAATGCACCATACCTTCTAACGTCAGTCAATCGATGGTCTGGCGGTATTGCCCCCCAAAATCATATTCCATTCTTCATTGAAGTTTAAGGTTGATTCGCATTGAGTAGCTTTCTGTGTAGGAATATAATTCTGGATAATGTTGCATTGTGAAAGAATTCTTACTTCATTCCTCGGCCCCCTGCATGCCTGTAGAGTTCCGTATCAGAGGATCTGCAGTGGACTTATATCATATTCATTGCCTTGGTCCGCTGAAGACAGTCTAGGAGATGGGTTGCTGTTAGGGACTGTTACAGCACGATAGTATCAAGGTTATCAAAACTGCCAAGATGTGGAGAGATCCATTAAACACTTAGAATCAGATATTATTATCACAGACAAATAAAATAGACCAGAGTGAAGAAATCGTATCGTCGAGATTTGCTGCTACCATTACGATTAGCTCCGCTTCATATGGCCGATCGATGAATGAAGTCCTTAAATCAGGCTAAATCCTAGGTCGCGTGGATATACATCGAAGAATTACCGTCAAATGATGCTTTGCAAATTTATCAACACATCCAACCGGCATAGGCGATTCACTAATTGACATCCATCTAAATAAGCCTGATTGATATGTCAGACTTCTGTCGGCAATAATGTACCATTTGCACTGCCGAACGCCGAGTTTTGTCCCATATGAAGGTCACTAGCAGTATTTCGGTGGTTAAAAGTGGCTGTTGTTGCGTGTGTCTGATTAGATGAGAACTAGCTCAGGCTTTGCAGGCCAATACCGCAGCAAGGCAGCCTGGCTACTTCTGGCTGCCTACTCGAACATCCTAGTACATAGACATGAAGGCTGTGCGAAACTGTGCGAAAGTGGCCCTCAGAGGGAATGCCGATATATATCCGGTACCCTATCTTGACCGACCAATAACTTGATTTCAAAATTGAATAGGAACCTCCGGGATTCTAGGTTGTAAGGTGTACAGGTTATTAGGGTTTTAATCGGCAGCGGATATGGTTAGGGGCTAAAGTTTTGATGAATAACCGAGGGACAGATAGTGTTGAGTGGGTCTTTGGACCTAGATTGATCCGGCCCAGGCGGCAGGAGCGCCTTCCTCGCCTCCCGAGGAACCACCCCCTCTACTTCGCCATCCTACCCTGCTTGCTCGCATGTTCCTAGTTGTTTACAACCTCAATCCAATCATTCTAACCGACCTTTCCTCTGCTGCATTAGCTTTCGTTCCTCTTTACGGAAGTATACGCTTTCAATAGAGAGGGTGCGTAACAGAAACATTACCTTGGTTCGGCTTACAGAAACGCCTAAATAGGTCGTTCAGATTCCACCTTGTTAATCTTAGTAATCGATGTGGCAGTAGCTTCCACAAGCCAAGGCTATCCGAAGTCTGGGCCCTGGACCCTGATCTAATCGTCCCGGGATCTCACCGTGAATAGCTAGACAAAGGTTCTCTTGGTTGTCTATTTTTGGAGGTGTAACTGCTACTGTTTAAGAGCGGCACATGTACTCCATGACGATCGGCCCTCCGAAGGCTCAGTGGACATTAGTACTGTACTATAGTAGAACCCTTCCTCGAGTAACATGTGACAGGCATTTGGACACCAAGGCTTTCACTTCAATCACTTAGTTACATAATGCCAAGCGTACTATTTTAGACCGGTCTCAGACATGCTAGCTCTCGTCCTTCTACGTGCCGTGTCTCGAAGAAGACAACTATGCGGTACGCCGATCCTTGTGGGGCTAAGAATAATAGCGAAGTCATTGTCTCGTGCGTTGTAAAGTACCGATAAAGTCATCGTAATGTTGACAATCTGATAGTCGGACTTGAACTTGCATGACTTGGAATTTGCAACCATGCCGACAATAGACATGAAGAAGGATGCAAATTTTGGCCTACCAGCCTCAGTGTCTCCGGTATATTTTAGATATAGAGACGATCATTATCGTCCCTGACGTGCCGTAAATGGCGTCCGGTAGGGACTACGCCGGCCATCTGGACTCGTGGTTCAGGCTATGCTGCACTTTCCAATGTTGTCAATGACACCGTTACTAATGATTGTTTCCACTATTCAGAGGCGGTGGGCATTTGCGGAGTGTTATCTAATCCCATAAGCACTCTTGTCACTTTCACCACTGCTGTGATGGCCTTTCGGTCCAAATGAACTGTGTAATTTGTGATTCCAGAGTGGTTTTACTATGTTAGGCAGGTGCTAGGAGGACCAGAAACACTTTGGAAGCTGGGGGTGAATACGATATCATGCTACTCATTTTGGCCTTGGGTTTGCTCCTAGTGGCTGAGGTTATGGGACTGTCTTGCCTTCGCTCCGAGTGTTTGGTGTAGAGAGAGACGATTTATGTCTTATTTACTATAAGCCATACAAGCTACTCAACATGCAAAGAAAGGAGGAAGCAAACAAGAAAATAAGACACTATGTGAAATTAGAAGCAGGGGGACTAGTCTCTTGCTTCGGACACGGCCCGGTTATAGTGTTATCAACTACGACAACCGGGCAGAACTGGAGTCTTTGTTGATTTATAAGTGGCAGACCAGCAACCGTATCATGAGATAGTATTCCCAAGTCAAACTGTATCTACTTATACAGATGAAAGGGGTTTGAATACATATGTTCTTCTTTGTTTCTCAAACACTCAATTTTATAGATGGGTGCCAATTTGGGATCGAGATATTGTTGTGCTGTATATACTGACACAATTTACCGGTATCTTGCTTCTTTGAGAGAACTTTGGCTGCCAGCACTATAGCCTCCCTCGCCGGGGCATTGAGACAGATGTATAGCCTGTCAAAGTTAGAAAACTAAGACGCAGACATAGCTACCTATAGACTATGTATGTTTACATCGATTTGCCTCGTAGCTGAACAGCGTAATACTCAAAAAGATAGTATTTTACATTCTGCCTATAATGTCCCTTCCAGGTTATCCAGATTAATAAGGACCAATGTCTAAGCCGCTTGATCTGGCCTTCACCTTATCATTTTTTACTATGCCTTGACAATCAGACTACATTAGATGGTTATAGTATTCTCATCTGGAAATATATAAATATTCGAATTGCTTGGGGGTCCACCAGTGGGTCCCGTGGACACCATACCGATGCACGAGCTTGGACCCTTAAAGGCCATTTTCTACTCGTTCCACTCTAAAACACTCGAACATTCATGGTGGTGTCGATATCGGCAGTAGTATTTGCCGAAACGTTGAGGGTTACAGTGATCTGCGTCGGACATACTTCGGGGAATCTACGGCGGAATATCTAAGTCTTCGGAATATCCATATTGGAAAAGGACAGAAGCTCCGGCGTAGTTTGATGATGAGCTCCGATGTATTGAATCAGGAGCTGACAGGAGTGGGCATCATGCAGACCCTCTAGTAATGTCAGTCGCGCGCAATTTCGCACATGAAACAAGTTGATTTCGGGACCCCATTGTTACATCTCTCGGCTACGGCTCGAGATATGCCTGCCGAGTATACTTAGAAGCCATGTCAGCATGTTGTTATACGACATAAAGTCAGGGGATACGAAACGATCGTAGGATGTTTCTTGTCTTTTTGCTAAATTAGTCTTCCAGTGGTTTATTTAAGAGATAGATCCCTTCACAAACACTCATCCAAAAACAGACATCTCATACTACTCATTGACCTAATTTTAAGCACATCCAGGCGCATGTATTTCAACATGAAGCAATTCTTTGCAAAACACGCTCTCGCCGTTGCGGTGACTGCAGGGCACGCTATAGCAGCCTCTACGCAGGGCATCTCCGAAGACCTCTACAGCCGTTTAGTCGAAATGGCCACCATCTCCCAAGCTGCCTACGCCGACCTGTGCAACATTCCGTCGACTATTATCAAGGGAGAGAAGATTTACAACTCTCAAACTGACATCAACGGATGGATCCTCCGCGACGACAGCAGTAAAGAGATCATCACTGTCTTCCGTGGCACTGGCAGTGATACGAATCTACAACTCGATACTAACTACACCCTCACCCCTTTCGACACCCTACCCCAATGCAACGGTTGCGAAGTACACGGTGGATATTATATTGGATGGGTCTCCGTCCAGGACCAAGTCGAGTCGCTCGTCCAACAGCAGATTAGCCAGTATCCGGACTATGCGCTGACTGTGACGGGCCACAGGTATGCCCTCGTGACCTCTTTCAATTGAGTGTATAATACTCACTAACTCTACGATAGTCTCGGAGCGTCCCTGGCAACACTCACTGCCGCCCAGCTGTCTGCGACATACGATAACATCCGCCTGTACACCTTCGGCGAACCGCGCAGCGGCAATCAGGCCTTCGCGTCGTACATGAACGATGCCTTCCAAGCTTCGAGCCCAGATACGACGCAGTATTTCCGGGTCACTCATGCAAACGACGGCATCCCAAACTTGCCCCCGGCGGGGCAGGGGTACGCCCATGGCGGTATAGAGTACTGGAGCGTTGATCCTTACAGCGCCCAGAACACATTTGTCTGCACTGGGGATGAAGTGCAGTGCTGTGAGGCCCAGGGCGGACAGGGTGTAAATAATGCGCACACGACTTATTTTGGGATGACGAGCGGAGCCTGTACATGGTGATCAGTCAATTCAGCCTCTCCGACTGTACCAGGAAAGATGGATGTCCTGGAGAGGGCATGCATGTACTGTACGTATACCCGAAGCACACTTTTCCGGTAAATCAGGAGATGTAATAAGTTCCTTTCGTGAATAGACATGGTTACCCTCATCATAACCCATGAGGTTGCCTTTCTCTTTTGATTGTGATTATATGTCTAAAGTAAATGACAGATATCTCTAAACACCTTATCCTCTTAAACCCATCGTAGACTGTGTCACCTGATAGACCCCTTGAATGTGAGCGAAATGTATCAGTCCCGTTTAAATTCAACCCTTTCAGTCTAGCACAGTCAGAACACACCAATTCCATTTTAAGGTAGTACTTAGTATGAATACAGCCCAAATGCATCGCTATATGATCCCATAAAGAAGCAGCAACCTTTCAGATCTCGTTTGCGCTGCGAAAAGCTAGCTCTACCATGGTCTTAATGATGAGTGGGGCGTTCAGTCTCGTTTAAGCCTAGCTATCCTACAAGGACAACACATGTATATGGGGTTACCTGTAAAGAGGTAGGTTCCCGGGCTTCTTCACCGTCTCGAGGAGTTGACTACACGTCGCCTCTATGTCATAAGCCGGTATATCTCGACGTTGTCGTGATCGCGACCCAGATCCCTGCTGATAACGTTGAGAAAGCCCTATATTGGGATTTCCAATCTCAGTTTTACGAAGATATGCCGATGGCGGAGGGTTAGTAAATCGATTACGTCGTGTGCAGCATGAGATGAGACCGTGGCCAATTCTGTTCAAATGCCAAGCTTGACCCGCCGCCTCTTACCACATGTAAGGATTCATCCGTCGGCGGCAAAATGAATTGTGCAAATTCCGAGATCATGAGAGCGTCCATACTTCCACGTCGGTCCTGGATGGGTTGTTCGTGGCCTTAATGCTTTTCCCAATACGAAGGTTGTTCGTATTACTGCGATACAGATTCTGTAGGCAAGGCGCAGGGCTCTCTTCCAGGTGGGAGGCATTCCATATTAATCCGATTTCCTCACGCCATCTACATTAATTTTGGAGACATACCTTTACTCTGCAAGCCCTGGACGTAAAGAATCTTCGGCAGGACTTGATGTAGGATGCCTAGACTCTTTCGCGCCTACTCCTCGCAAACAAGCCTATCATATTAAGCGGAGTAGGATAGCCATGATTGTCTTTGACGAAGCCGCTTCAGATTACCCGTTACCCATTCTTTGCAGACAGCCATCTCAGATCTTCCCAAAGTCTCTTTTTTTCCACAAGAGAGAGCCAGCTTTGAATCATCATATTTAAGGTTATATCCTAAGTGAAAGCTCAGAGCTCCTGGAAAATCTTTTCTTTTTACTTCTGCGTACCCTGTCAAGACATTCCATTCCTTTAGACATTTTACCAGACACAGTCTTTACACACCCCCATCTGGACTTCTTCGTTGAAAGGTAGTAAGGCGCGCAAGATGTTTATCCAGACAATAATGCATCATTTCAAAGTCTGCAGCTGAAGCCTTGATAGAATGAAACAGAAACAATGTAATGACCCACGCTTTCACCTCGTCACCTAGGGACTCTAGTATTGTATCTTTTAGCCATAAATATGAGTCCTGCCACTGCAGAAAAGCATGCGACCGCTCTTAATATGAGCCCTAGTCCGGCCTGATCCGCGATATAATTCAGCGCCCTGCCGTCCACACCTTGCCAGGACCGCCCTGCAGCATGTTGTACCACTGAGCCACTAAACCCGTCGTTCAGCAGCCCTATATCGAGTCGAGGGGTATTATATAGCCATGCGTATTTCCTGAACGCTGCCGTTACCATCATCGGGCCCGTGGACCAGAATACCTGTAGGTACGGGAGGAGTATGCCTCGTGATACAAGCCTGCTATTCCGCCGCTTGGCCTCGTAAAGCGCCCATTCCAGGAATGGCGATCCAGGCCTAGCCATAAAGAAATGGTTACTGAGGCCGAGTGTGCCCGCCGTTGGGGAGAAAATAGCTTGAAATCGGAGTCTCTGGAGGCATCGAATACGCTCAGCCGACTTGGGGTTTACGTCAAGGTCGGAATAAATGCCACCCTCAGAATGGACAATGAGCAGTCTCGCAAGATCAGCACGCTGAATATCGTGAGGATATCCTTCGTATGTTGACAGCATCCAAGCATAATCTGCTTTGATAAGCTCAAGGACATCATTATCTGTCCATAGCTTGACCGTGTAGTTAGAGGGCTCGAGCATAGCCTTCCACGATTGACAAGACGCGGTGATGGTGGTGGAATAGTCACTGATATCGGTTGTTTTCCACAGTTGATGGACAATGTTTGGTATCACTGGATCGAGGGGCGGACGAGCGTTATGGACATCTTCGAGTGCATCAGGCGAACATGCGTCCACTATCTGTATAGACTGTGTCAAGTCTCCGGTGAGAGCGAACTGATCAGTATAGATGATTTGAAAAACAACAAAGATAATAACAGAGAAAATCACTGCGACACCAAGCTGTCTCGGCCTTCCAAAGAAAACCCCCATAATGCTCCTTTTTGCAAAACCTCGCACTCCGACGGTAGTCTGCCTTTGAATGAAGGGTGAATGTTGAAGGCAAAGGTTACACTACCTCGGGATGGCAGAACGATATTAACTACTGGGATTGCTCCAATGTTGGTCCACGTTTGATGCGCATGACTGGCCAGGAAATCGGAATCAAAAAAAGGTCCGAGTTCCATGAGTACCAGCCTACGTTCATGTTGATCATGGCCTGTTTTTATCGCGTGGGTTTTTTAGGGGAGTGGAAACCACACCAGTAAGTAGCTTTCGCACCAAGGATCGCCCAGGATCGTAGTAGGTCAAAAACATTGGAGAATATTTTCATCTGAGACAAGCAGTAGGTATAACATTTGTCTCTATCCTATTCGTCCCTGGCTGGGTATTAGGGCCATCCAAGCCATTGTGCTTGATGATCGGTGTTAATTTGATACCCCAAAATCTCTCGGACAATCCACCTTGCCCACCCAAGACCATCGCCTACCAGAGTGACTGGGATTTGTCCCTTTCGTTGACAGGAAGGGACTGGACAGACTAAATTAGGATGCTCACAGATGCTCAAGAAGTAGACGACACAACAGATTTCTTGTCTATGTATTTTGACTATCCGTGAATCATGCAAAATTGCTGGCAGTTCTTGTGCGAGGAAGTATTACTACGTAATATTGATTTTGAAAGTATTATCACCGAGGCACACCTTCTTTATTGACACCAAATGTGGAAATTTCTGTCTTCTTGTGCCGCAAACTTGCCAGTCCGACTCATCTGCGGCCCCACGGCGTGGTTCGTGTAGAGACTCTCGAGTGTCCGGGCTCTTGTTAAGTGCAAGTAAGACATTTTACCCCTGTAAATGCATGGTTTTAAGGAAAGTATCGAGCTTATCCTGCCCACGAGCCCCGGCAGAGCTGACATGACTTCAGAAAGTATGCTGAGATCGCTGATCAAATGATAGGTAGCTGTGTATCCGCAGTAGTAAGAAGGACAGTCTATTGCAAGCTAGCAGAATGTAATGAAGCAACCTGCTATATTCTATTTACTGAATGTACGGTCTATCAATCTTTCAACTGCGTCTGTAACTCTGACCACTGTTGTGATTCATTCAAGCCAGATCAGAATCTTTGCTAATTTGGGAAGACAAACATGTTGTTTCTGTGTGAAACCCCCCACTACGTTCCACTTTACTCGCTGGCCCCGCGATTTCTCTGCGCAGTCTGAAAACATGCGTTAGCTAATAACCGGTGATCAGCTCAATCGTAGTTATTATCCTGATTTTGTAGAATGTATGGCTTGGCCACTAAGTCTGGACAAATACAAGGAATGGTTGCCCTTCAACTTAAGGATGTAGCTTCATGATGTATAAGCTATCGTCGTAGGCACTCCACGTGATGGTTGTATCTCTTTACATTGATTCATATCCAGTCAAATCCCCAGATATACGGATTGGGACTGGCTTATGTATTTCATTTATCGAGGTCTTCGACACGGCCTTGCCCCTTTTCTTACTGTAGAAAATACTGATTGGAGCCTTAGACGAGTGTTTCCCGGTAACTCTAAATGTCATGGATGAACCATGCGATAACCTTGGGAAACAATTAATTCGTTGATTGATTTACACTCCTCTGTTAAAGTCAGAAGGAGACTAAGTATGGAAGCCGGATGTTTTATCCCCTCCAGATCTCCAGATCTTAGCAGCTGATGAAGTTAAAAAACAGTACTGTAGCCATTCCATAGGTAGCCACTATTCTAAGACATCAATGGTTGAGAAAGCACCGGGCAGTCACATTCAATAAGCTAGTTAAAGTCATGATAGCATCCTCAATGCCATACAGAAGAATGTTAGTGAATATGTAGCTATAATTATACCTAGTAACGGATAAATTGTTTAGTAAATGCCCGCTCCAACAGGATCTGATTCAAAGAGCGGGACGGCCTTTGAATCTCGGTTGAAATATTGATTACCGGTCTGAGATCGGAAGATTTTACCATGATCCTGGCCAGTGAAACGTCTATCTTCGACAGAAGTCTATACTGCATCTTGCATTCTACCAATGTGTGGAGATATGATTATACCTATCAAATTATCTATTCCAGAGACTTTAATCCTCTGGCGAAAATATATGTCCATGGATCAATCCTGTCTACTGTTTCAAAGTTCTTGTTGCGGTGGAACCTCGGAGAAACTCAAAAGTCCCCAGTCTGATAGCGCCGTCCCTTCTCACAAGGCGGGGAGTGTTGGTCCACTTAATGGAGTATCAATTCCAGCGCTATATTTATACCCCTGGATTGAGATTTGATGTTCGGCCCAATAGCTAGTTTTGTCTACTCAGCCACCCAAGTCACGCGATCTTGGAACAACGCTGCTCACCTACTAGAACAGGAAAGCAGGTGTCCGGGTGCCCGTGAATTTTTGCTCTGTAGGGTCCATCAACTAAAGAATTACAGTAAAACACGGTTATCAGCAATTATATGAGACACGCCACCAAATTGCTTATACCGAGATGTTGCTTATATCGAATATTCTATCTAAATTATCATTTTATTGTGTATCTAATACTTTGTTTAAAAAAAAATATTATGTTTCTGATATACTAGCGAATATAAAAATATTAAATTAATATTAAATCATGTATTTTTGGGTCTTGTAGCTATGAATCTTCTTAGTATCTAATCGGTAATACCATTAAAATATATAAATTACCGCAGGTACAGGATACAGAGAAAGAAGTAATCAACTAATTATATATAATTTTAAACCATTTAATGAAAATAAGATCAGATGAGACTTGTAAATATTATTAAATATATAAAATAATAAGAAAGTTCTATTTTTTTATGTTTTAGTAGTCTATTCTAGTATAAATTGTAAATAAAAACATCTAAATTAACTATTCTGAGCATCCAATATAGGCAATTTTGTATGGAGGACGGTCAGGAACTTAGCAATTTATTAGTAATAAAGGATTCCCTATATAGGGTGTTGCTTATATCCGTGTTTTACTGTATTGTTTTCGTGATATAGGATAGACAGATAGATACATGTAGATCTATGTCCATACCAATCACTCCTCGCAATGGCCTAGCTCGATACCCGGTATATCTATCTGTATTTGCGCATCGATATCAAAGGTACTACCACTACGTTGCGCTGTGCGGACCATTTTCATCTAATATATGAATAGATAGATAGATAGATGGGGTTTGCGATAGTTCTTATTTTACACCCTTCGACTATTATGTATGATTGCTGATATAGTAGGGTAGGGTAGCATTCAGGTGGTTGATGTATATAGGTGTATATCTAGTCCTATCTATATGTACTTGTATTGTACCGACGAACCGTTCGGAGAAAGTCACAAGTAGTCTTGAACTAGTAAGCGGGCTATGCACGGCGAGTGAAGATAGATACTAGATATAGAGATAGATAGATATCCATAAGGTGTCTTCCATAGAGTAAAACAACCTACTGGAAACTCTAGAAATAGTACAATACATCTGTCAATTGAACAGGCTTCCTCCTCCTACTAAACACAGTTCTTTCCTGACCTCAAGAGACTACTATTTACCCACACATACATAGTAGCCAAGCCACAAATTCTTGCAGCCATCACCCACATAGGGATTCCACGCGAGGAAGTCAGCCTGTGAGATCCCGCACTGCTTTGCGATACTTGCACATATGTCTACATCCTCAACATTGTGAAACTGAGTACAGCCGTCGACCATATTCGGCAAGGTGGGTGTCGGCGTCGCCTCAGATGTCGGTGAAGAGCTCGGTATGATGGTAGGGCTGGGACTGGAGCTTGGGCTGGCCTCCACGCAGACATAATTGTCAAGCCACAGGTTTTTACAATCGGCTCCCACGTCTGGGTTCCATGTCAAGAAATCAGCTTGTGAGATCCCGTATTCCTCCAATATCGTTGCGCAGTTGTCACCGTCAACAGCTTTGTGAAATTTGGTGCAGTCTTTCGTCATATTTGGCTGGGTTGGAGTTGGAGTGACCACGCCTGAACTGATGGATGTGGTTGAAGGGGTACCACGAGTAGACGTCGGTGTCGAGCCAACACAGACGTAGTAGTCTAACCAAAGACTCTTGCAATCATCTCCGACGTCTGGGTTCCACTCCAGGAAATTCGCCTGGGATATCCCGTATTGCTTAGAAATAGTTGCGCAAGTGTCTCTGTCAATCACCTTATGGAACTTGGTGCAGTGGTTCGTAACATTTGGCTGTGTGGGCGTTGGGGTGGCGATACCAGAAGTGGTGGTTGTTGCTGGAGAGCTATTTGTTGTGCTGGCACTGCTCGAGATAGGCGTGCAGCTGATGGGAATAGCGCTCGGGAACAAAGAGGGAACTGGGTCTGTAGGGCCCAAATCACAATAGCTCTCATAAAGTGAATAACAGTTATCCGCTAAATCATCTTCTGGGATAAAGCTGTTATTCTCATCTTCAGCAGTAATCCAGCAGTACTTGGTTCGTTCAGCGAGGAGGCTTGAAAGTGTGGCGTTTGGCGTGAATGTGGGAATGGAAGGTGTGTAGTTTGGATCAATGATAGGCGAATACCAAGAAGTGGTAATATTATCCATTATGATTACCGGAGTTCCTGGTACCCATGAGGTAATCAAAGAAGACAGTAGCCCGCTGGATGTTTTATTTATACTAGAGATGCTGAATTCTCCTCCTCCTGGGGGTCTACTTGAATTAGAACAGCTTCATGCAATGGGGGACACGACTTACAATATACAAATAATTCTTCCCACCATCAACTCAAGATTATCACAGGTTTGATGTATTATTCTGAATGCTTGGTGAGTCCGCTGTGAAATAGTCGAGTCGAAGGTACGCTAACATACAGATTCCATCCTATCAATTGTACCAATCCGAATAACTGGCCTTTGACAATATCATTGCATGTTTGATTCTGCTGCACTGTGAATACAGTACAGGTGTCTTGTATGAAGAGCGTCGTCCCAGAAGCAAGCGTTGAGCATGAATAGTCAAGTTTATTCACCTTAATAAGCTGGTCAGTACTAACAGAGTTAGCTTTCGAAATTGACTTGCAAGTATCCCCTTCTTTCGATATATAGGTGTGGCCAGTACAAGTCGGTGTGGCGGTGGTCGAAGTTGCGCTTGTTGGCGTGGATACCGTCATGGTCGCCGTTGGCAAAGGCGTGTAGATATATGGATAGCTCGAGACTGGAACGCTGCAAGACGAAAGCAACGACGAGAAAGCGGCTGGCGAGAACTTGTTTCGTCCGTAATCAGAGCTCATCATGACCGAGCCGTATTTCAGGGTACAATCAGAACACGGGGCCTTGGTCCGATTATAGAGATCAGCCAAACAGTACCCAGACCTAGACTCGGTCAGCGTCGATTCCAGGGCCTTTACGGCCTTTCCGCAGGAGGTACACACGCGTCTTGGATACACATTAGGTTATACGCCCACACCAACCCATCAGCTACCACCGCGGGCGATTGCGTTGTCGTGCTATTCTTGTATAACTGGTACTCCTTCTTTCCGCAGGCCGAAAGAATGCTCTCCTGGAAGGTCTGGAGAGAATCATGACATTCTTTCATGCAATATGTCTTCGCAGTCACCCCAACCAGTGCGGCCCCATTCACAGCATCCTGTGCAGTAACAAGGCTGTTCGCGCAAGTAATATTGTAAATTAGGATATTTTGACAATCAGAGGGGACCGCGGTAGAAATATCATCTGGACTGTCCCAGACCTGGATCGCAGCAACATTTTGCCCAGGAAAAGGCAAAACGAAAACAATGCCAACACTGGTAAGAAGCATTCGCGTTCAATATCAATAAGTCAAAAAAAATTTTTAATGGTCCTTGAAGTCGGAATCCAGGAAAAGCATCCATAACCATGCCTCGCGGGAGCTCGGAAGTCATTTCTCTTTCACAAAATAAAAAGAAAACAGTAATTACCGATAGATAGGCTTATGCAACACAAAGACAGCGCTAGAGAACTGACTTCACTAGCTTAGCCCCGTCTTCTGGGAGTGTTGTTACAAAAAATTATGCTAGATCCTCTAGTATCAATCCGCTCTGGTTGTTAGCGCCCTGGAGGGGTCCTAAGCATGATACTATCTGTAGAAAACTTAAAGGCAGAATTGAGATGTCTATCTATACTATTATATTTCCTATATTCTACTATCACAATCCATTGCGTTGCAGCAGTGGCAGGAACAAACTACTACAGTGAAATCCTTCAGAAAAAAGATAAAAGTATGTAAATTAGAGAGATGAACTAAAATTTAGACCCCATCAAAAACTTACAGGATAGAGAGGTCTCCGGTCAAGCGGAAGACACTGCACTTCCGGGGTACCCGAAACACATTCCTAATCACCAGTCCCGCCACTGATTTGTATCTCATACTTCTAATCATATCAAAATTAAGTGATTATATATATATAGTACAAATTCATAAATAAGATGATGTAATTCATGAATACTATTAAAACTTGAAAGTCAGGATTCTTGGACAGTTTATATAAGATAATAATATTTCTGAATAGAATCCTGTATATAAATTAATCTTAACCAAAACATGTTATAATCAGATACATGCTTATAGTATATACTTAATATATAATTAATCAATGTCGGCTGGAAATCACTTTTACCTTACTAATTAAACTCTTGCCTATTTATATGAAAACCCTCGTTACCATGAATATCTAGAGTTATCACATGCCTCATATAAAATCATATGGAATATTCAATGCTTACAGAGCAGATTAGACTTATTCCTTGAAATCCTGATAATCCCTCTTTTACATGTGATTCTTGTGTTATTCTGATCAGTTAATTATGATTCCTTTATCTATTAATGATTCATGATTTTGATCTAGATTCATTTACTACAAGTAGTAAATTAAAGATAAATAGAGTCTATATCTTTCTACTTAAAATATTTAGACTAAGTCTTCCAAGTTATCTAAGTTATTTAATTTATTTATTATTTATCTCAGGATTTATTTTTTTTTATTTAGGCAGTAGGATTGCTTTTTTTTAATAAGTTTATTAATTATACTTATCTTTATATATTTATGAATTGATATCTAGTTTCCTATTTAGGACTAGTATTATGTGACTTGATTATATTATTATTTTATAATTATTATCTGATTGTATCTTCTTTGGCTAAGTAATTAAAGAAATATTATTATCTTTATATTAAATCTTTTTATATCAGACTGTCTATTTTTTTTAATCTAATAATTTTAAGTTATCTAATCTTTATTCTTTTCCTGATTTTCTCTAGGGGATTCTGATAAGATTTTAATAGTTATAAGCCCGGTTTATCTCTACTGAAAGGTTTACTCGATAATATATTAATCCTGATCTTGCAGATAAGCCAGCAATACTAAAATAATTAAATAAACTAAAAATTTAATAAATTAAGTAAACAGCTTAAACAGTAATTAATCTATTAGCTAATAAATAAGAAATCTATTATAATTATATAAGAGATTATAAAATCTCTTTTAAAAAATATCAGATAATCTCTACTAGAATATTAATAATCTTATTAATTATATATAATTTATTATCCTAATTCCACAAACAATCGATTCTGGATGTAAATAATATATATAAAATTTTTTAAATATTAAAAAAAAAATTAACACTTATTATAAAAGCAAGAAAATATGATTTAATCTAAAAATATTATTTACTATAGATATCATCCCGCTCAAGCCTTGAAATTCACATTTCTACATGGGAAAATTTATATTTTAAATATAAACAGATATAAATATCAGAAGTCTTATAATCTTTATATATATAATATAATTTTTTAGAATCAACCTTAAACTTTTTATTAATATTTTTAATAATATGGTTTGGAAAAATTACTGAATTAAATAAAAGTTTATAGCTAATTTCTGATTTTTATAAGATAACTCATAGATACAGAGAATTTAGTAGAAATTATAAATAAAAATTAAAATCTTTACTAAATATTATAAATATAATCTTTAAAAATTAAATTAATAATTCTACTAATTCTACTAATTATTTAAAGCTAGTGAAATAATCCAGATATCTTTATAAATTAGAATTAAATAATAGTATCTACTTTCTAAAAAAATATTTATATATAAACCAAGCAAAATGACTTACCAATTAAAAGCCAGACCCAGAAATTATTAAAAAATTCAAAAAAATATGCAAAAATAATAAATTTTAATATATCTTTAAAAAAGTAAAAAAAAATTTATAAAAAATAATAATAATTCTAGTTAAAAAAAATCAGATGATTTATTTACTTTTACTACTTTGCAAATATATTCTTCAAAATCAAAAAATTCAATAAATTATTAAAATAATTAGATTTTTGATACAGGGTCTGATACCCATGTTTATAATAATTAATAATATTTTAGTAAATATACTCCAGTGAATGATAATATAGCTGTCTTAGTTAGTAATATAAATATAAAAGTATAGAAATTTAGTATAATTTATCTTATTCCCACTATTTACCTACAAAATAAACTAATTAAATTTAAATTAAAAAATATTATATATATATCTTACTTTTATTTGAATATTATCTCTGCCGGCAAGGCAAAGGAAGAAAATTTATAATTAAATTTAAGAAAAAATATACTTAAAATCTATAAAAATCAGTAAATTTACAGATTTAAAGAAAAAAAAATATTCTATTTATTAAATAGAATAAAATATAAAAAATTGGCTAAAATTAGTAAATTTTTCAAATAAAAATTGAACCAGTGAACAAGCCAAAATATAAATATTTAATTAATTATATAAATAGTATAAATCTAATTTAATTAAAAGATAATATTTATCTTTAATATTAATACTTGAGCCACCCAGATAAAGAAATTATAGAAAATATTAAAAACTCAGTTATAAATATTTACTTAAATACTTCTCTGAAAACAGGTGAATTTAATTTTTGTAAAATATACCAGACAGCAAATTTAATAAACAAATTTTATAATAGCTAATATAAACAAGTTAAATATTATTTAATTATTTATATTAAAATCTTATTTATATTCCTCCAGGCATAAAAAATAAGTAATATATAAATTATATATATTATTTATTTATAAAATATCATCTGGGCCAAATCCTAATAAATAAATCAGATATTATCGGCTGGAAATCACTTTTATCTTACTAATTAAACTCTTGCCTATTTATATGAAAATCCTTGTTTCCATGAATACCCAGAGTTATTACATGCCCCATACAAAATTATATGAAATACCTAATATTCATGGAATAAATTAAGCTTATTTCTTGAAATCCTGATAATCTCTCTTTTACATATAATTCTTATATTATTCTAATCAGTTGACTATAATTTCTTTATTTATTAATGATTCATGACCCTGGCCTAGATTCATTCACTACAGACAGTAAATTAAAAATAAATAAGGACTATATCTTCCTGCTTAAAATATTTAAACTAAGTCTTTTAAGTTATCTAAGTTATCTAATTTATTTATTATTTATCTAAGGATATATTTTTTTTCTATTTAAATAGTAGAATTACTTCTTTTTAATAAGTTTATTAATTATACTTATCTTTATATATTTTATGAATCTATACCTAGTTTCCTATTTGGGACTAGTATCATGTAATCTGATTATATTATTATTTTATAATTATTACCTGACCGTATCTTCTCTGATTAAGTAATTGAAGAGATATTATTATCTTTATATTAAATCTTTCTATACCAGACTATCTATCTCTTTCAGTCTAGTAATTTTAAATTATCTGATCCTTATTACCTTCTTCTATTCCAGGAAATATTCTAACAGTTATGAGCCCGGCCTACCTCTACTGAAAGATCTACATATATAAAGGTTTAACTAGTAAATACTTATAATAATAATAAAAATAAATAAGTTTACTAACCAGCTAATCACCTTCTGTAATTAGCCAGCATAGATTAAAAATATCAGAATCCTGGCCGAAGCAAAGTAAGTATAGTAATATATTAATCCTAATCTTGCAGATAAATCAGTAATATTAAAATAACTAAATAAGCTAAAAATTTAATAAATTAAGTAAACAGCTCAAACAGTAATTAATCTATTAGCTGATAAACAAGAAATTTACTATAATTATATAAGAGATTATGAAATCTTTTTTAAAAAATATCAGGTAATTTATACTGGAATATTAATAATCTTATTAATTATATATAATTCATTATCCTAATTCCACAAACAATCGATTCTGAATATAAATAATGTATATAAAATTCTCTAAATATTAAAAAAAAAATTAGCATCTACCACAGAAATCAGAAAATATAATTTAATTTAAAAATATTATTTACTACAGATATCACCTTACTCAAGTCTTAAAATTCATATTTCTACATGGAAAAATTTATATTCCAAATATAAATAAATATAAATATTAGAGGTCTAATAACTCTTATATATATAATATAATTTTTTAGAATTAATTTTAAATCTTTTACTAACATTTTCAATGATATAGTTTGAAAAAATTACTGAATTAAATAAAAATTCACAGATAATTCCTGATTTCTATGAGATAACTCATAGATGCAGAGAATTCAGCAAAGACTATAAGTAAAAATCAAAATCTTTATTAAATATTATAAATATAATCTTTAAAAATTAAACTAATGATTTGACTAATTCAAATTATTCAAAGCTAGCAAAACAACCCAGATACCCCTGTAAATCAAAGCTAAATAATAGTATCCACTTTTTTAATAAATATCCATATATAAACTAAGCAAAACGACCCACCAATTAAAAACTAGACCCAGAAATTATCAAAAAATTCAAAAAAGCATACAAAAATAATAAATTTTAATATATCTTCAAAAAAGTAAAGAAAAAATTTATAAAAAATAATAAAAAATTAAATAATTTATTTACTTTTACTACTTTGCAAACATATTCTTCAAAATCAAAAAATTCAATAAATTATCAAAATAATTGGATTTTTGATACAGGATCCAATACCCATATTTACAATAATCAGTAATATTTCAATAAATATACTCTAGTGAATAATAATACAGCTGTCTTAGTTAATAATATAAATATAAAAGTATAGAAATTTAATATAATTTATTTTACCCCCATTATTTACCTATAAAACAAACCAATTAAATTTAAATTGAAAAATATTATATATATATCTTATTTTTATTTGAATATTATCTCTGCCGGTAAGATAAAGAAAGGAAATTTATATTTAAATTTAAGAAAAAATATACTTGAAATCTATAAAAATCAGTAAATTTATAGACTCAAAAAAGAAAATAATATTCTATTTATTAAATAAAATAAAATATAAAAAATCAACTAATATCAGCAAATTTTTCAAATAAAAATTGAACTAGCAAATAAGCTAAAATATCAATATTTAATTAATTATATAAACAGTATAAATCTAATTTAATTAAAAGATAATATCTATCTTTAGTACTAATATTTAAACCACCCAGACAAAGAAATTATAAAAAATATTAAAAATTTAACTATAAATATTTACTTAAATATTTCTCTGAAAGCAGGTGAATTCAATCTTTATAAAATATACCAGACAGCAAATTTAAATAAACAGATTTTACAGTAACTAATATAAATAAATTAAATATTATTTAATTGCCTGTATTAGGATCTTATTTATATGCCTCCAGGCATAAAAAATAAGCAATATATAAGCCATATATATTATCTATTTATAAAATACCATCTAGGCCAAACCCTAGTAAATAAATCAGATATTTATAAATCTCTGATACAAATAATATAATTTATAAAAAATTAATTTAGGATTAATCTTTAATATTTTCACTTAAATAGAGACCCTAATTTATTCAATTATTTAATATTTTATAAAGAAACAGATATTCTAGCCATTTAAAGTCCTGAGGATTAACCTGAATAAAATATCTTTATAAAAAAGATCAGAGCCCTAATTTCTTAAAAAACCCAAATTTTAATGATTAATTCAGGATTACCTTATTTTTTATGGCCAGAGGCAGCAGAGGCAGCAATATATATATTAAATAAAATATTAAATAAAGTAAATAACTGGAAAATCCTATATAATAAATTATATAAATATCTAGATAATCTATCTAATTTTCTATATAAAAAACCTGACTTAATAAATCTCAAGTAATATAGCTTGAAAGTCTATATATAAATTATTAAATTATCTAGATTTAATAAGCTAAATCTCTGAGTCCTGATTAATTATCTAGTTAATTATATAATATTAAATATCTGGAGAATATGGATTCCTATAAAGCAAAAAATCATATCAGTAAGAAATTATATATTTAATGAAAATTCAATATATAGCTATTCACATGACAATATAAGGAAATTTTATGAAGATGATTTAGAGTATAACTAATCTGAAATTCTAAATACAGAAGAATTAAATAAAACTATTAATTTTATTAATAAAAATTCAAATATTCAAGAATCCCAGCAAATGAATATAGAAGAAAATAATTCAAGAATTTTTAAAGAAAAAAATCAGAAATAATAAAAATAATAAAATTAATAAAAATAATGAAATTAATGAAATCAACCAGATTGACGAAATCAAACAAAATAGCCAAACAGATCAAATTTTAGAAGATCAGCCATTAACTCTATTATCTACACCACCAATGGTTTTTATTGATAACACCGATTTTATCGAAAAATTAAATGATCCAATCAGCTGGAAACAAAATTGATCAGAATCACCAGATCCTGGACCCTCAAAACAAGCCCGAAATTTTATGATAAAATCATTTCTATAATCATTTTCAACAGAAATGTTAAATAAAATCTTAAGATTATAAAAACATGATCTTCCGCCCTCTCCAGCAAATTAGAAGGAATCACAAAAACACCCGTATAAGCAGGAATTTACAGAAGCTGCAAAAATTAAATATCAGTAGTTATAAATAATATAAACATGGATTTCTATATCAGAAAAAAAAATTAAAAATCATCAAATTCTTTCATTAAAATAAGTTTTTATATACAAATTCGATGAAAATACCAATTTATCAAAATTTAAAGCCTGAATTTGTGTACAGGGAGATCTACAGTTAATTTTATTCTAGAAAGAAACTAGGGTCTTAATTTTAGAATCCCGGATTCTAAGAATAATATTTGTAATAATTACAGTATTTAATCTTGAAATCTTCTAAATAGATGCCGTGAATGTCTTTCTAAACAGTAAAATAAATAAAGAAATTTATATATTATTTCTATCTAGCTTTACAGCTAAAGAAAAGATACTTAAATTAAATAAGATTTTATATAGATTATAAAAGTCTTTATTACTATAATAATAAATAATCAAGGAAATCTTTATAAAATTAAGATTATAGCCAGTAAATAAAGACCCCTGCATCTTTATAAATAATTATATTATTCTAATTTGTTTTGTTGATGATATTATTATAATTTTCCACTGAAAAAATCAGAAAATATTCAAGGATTTCAAAAATCAATTGATGAATATATATAAAATAAAAGAAATAGATAAAATAATTATATTTTTCTTTTTTATTTAATTCTCTTATTTTATTATAATTATCTTATATTTTTAATCTTAATTTATTTCTTTTGATTTTTAATATTATCTTTCCCATTTTCTAACTTAAGTCAAAAATCAAAATAATAATCTAATATTTAATATAAAGATATTTATTATACAGCTAGACTAATTTAATTACTATTATTTATATATTTATTTATAAGTATAAAAAGACCTATTACTATATTATTCTAGTATATATAACTTTAAAAACCAATCTTCTAGTATTATTTTTTTATATATCGATAAACTGTTCTGGTACAGACTTTTAAATTTATAAAAATTATTTTATTAATACTAATAGTTATTCTCCTAAACTTTCAATCTAAATTTAAATATATTTTACTAAATAATATGCTTGAAGCTTTCTAAAATGTATCAAAAATATAAAATAGATTTAAAACATAACCTCTACTTTCTTATAACTGACTATATACAAGTGTACAGACTACCATATATTAATATTTTTATAATAAATAATACTTCTTGAAAGTATATAACTTAGGCACAGTAAATAATATCAAATAATAAATATATATAATTTGAGCTTTTTAGTATATAGGATAAATAGGACTCTTAGAATCTATATTAAAAATATTAGTATATTATTTTGTATAATGCTTATTGGGGTAACGCTTATTATTGTAATATTTATTATTATAATACTTAATAGACTTAATTAGGCTTAATGTCCCTGAAAAAAAGCATTAATCTAATTTGAATTTCTGTTACATATACTAACTATATTCAGAAATGAATACTGCTATCTTTAAATACTTATAACTCCATAGAACAATTGATTAGAAGACTGAGAGTTATATCACTGTGTTTCTTATTTTCAGTGCTATCGAATGATACTAATCTTGAACTTGTCGGATATCATTTCACTGTTGTCCCGATGTGAAGATTTGCCTACTAGAAGCTTGCAGGTCCTATACAGTAGCACCCAGTCATCTTTCTATTCCATTACATACAAGCTTGTTTCTAAACAAAATATACCAAGACATATTATCTATATGGCTGAGCCAAGATACTATTTTCTAATTAATACCATATTCTAATATCCTTTTGGATTCGGCACGCACATATCTTACATAAATTCAAAAGGGCAAATCTGAGTCATCAGATCATGTGAATCTCATGTAATACTATTATAATATGGCAGTTCGGTGGGCTTGGCTGAGAATAGGAAGTGACTTAGTCACGTGATCTTTATTCATTCCCTTCGGGTGAGCGATGCGGGAAATTCTCGCTTAATCAAGCCCGCGGTGTCACACTGCCACATGTAAATGAGGCACAAGGTTGCCTCTTCACTTACTCCCTGTACGCCTTTAGGCTACCTCTACACCAGCAACAAGGATTCTCGACTAATCTAGGCCATAGATTTTACCACTTCCTCTGATAACGATGGCGGTTTCCCTTATGCCCGACGACTACACCATCGCGTGGATCTGTGCCTTGCCTCTGGAAGCGACAGCGGCCTGCGCCATGCTCGACAGGATCCACATCCCACCTCGATGGCCTACCTCCGATCCCAACGCCTACGAATTTGGCGAACTAAGCGGGCATTACATAGTCATTGCCCACCTTCCAGATGGCGTATATGGTAAAGTGTCTGCCGCAGCCGTCATGTCTCGCATGCGTTCAACGTTTCGTCGACTTGATTTTGGTGTGATGGTGGGAATTGGAGGAGGAGTCCCGGAAGGGAAAAATAATATTTGATTAGGTGACATCATTATCAGTAAACCAGGTCCAAACCATAATGGGGTCATACAGTACGATTACGGAAAGTCGGTTCACGGCGGGGAATTTAAGCAAACAAGCATCTTAAATAAGCCACCACAAATTCTTCTAAGACATATGAGTCAATTTAAGACTAGACAGATAACGGGGGCGCAGGACAATATTTTAAAGATAGTAAGAGAAATATTAAATTGAAACTCTAGCTTAAAAAACAAATTTTCTCCTCTAGAAGAGTGTACAGATTATCTTTTCTGCTCTTCCTATTGCTATGTTGACAAGGAAGATATCTGCGAGAAGTATAATAAAGAATAATTAGTCAAATGACCTCTGCGTGATACAAAGGTGCCTTATATCCACTATGGGCTGATTGCCTCCGGAGACCAGTTGATAAAGGACTCACAATTACAGGACCATCTAGTCCAATAGTGTGGGATACTTTGTTTTGAGATAGAAGCAGCAGGTCTTATAGATGAACTTCCGATACTTATAATCCAAGGGATCTGCGATTATTACAACTCCCATAAGAACAAAGAATGGCAAGGGTATGCAGCCCTTGTTACTACTACTTATACAAAAGTGTTCCTATCAGGAATACTAGTAACCCCAGTAATCAGTAGTATGATACCTTGATGCTCTTACCAGAATTAACACATAAGACTCTACTTACTGATGAACTAGTTGATACCAAATTACGGGAATACTATAAGAGTAACAATTGTCTGACAATTAATTACCTTTCTGGAGAAATTCTGGATATGGATTAATGCTACATCAATCTTTCAATTATAGAATATCGACACAAGGACCGGGATACAAGATTTCAAGAAAAACCACCATCCTCAGGTTTTTCACTACTTAATTACCTGAAAATAACAGCAGATACTCCTGAAAGGGAAGTTACACTTCCTGACATATTTTATAACTAAATACTTCCAAATGGCCAAGTGATTAAGCCGAGACGGTTTCTAATTTGAGGACAAGCCAGTGTTGGAAAAACAATACTCTGTAAAAAGCTCGTGCATGACTTTTACTATTAACAGATATGGGCGACCCATTTTGATCGTGTTATATGGATACCTTTGCGGAGGCTCAAGAATATATTAAGCCTGGACAAATTCTTCTGCCGGGACTACTTTTCTGTCCAAGCTGAGTATGATAAACTAGTTTCTAAGCTTTAGAAAACTGTGTTTGATTAAACCAATAAAAGAACTCTCTGGTTATTAGACAGTCTAGGTGAAATGTCGGGATATTACCATTCATCTGGAACTGACTTGACCAAGATATTCAACGGCCTATTAAATCAAGATAATGTGGTTATTTCATCCTGTCTATATACTGTGAACACTTCTGGTTTTGCTTCTTTTGATCTAGAGCTGGAGGCTGTCGGCTTTTATCCAAGTCAAGTATAGACTTACTTGGCCAACACTATAAAAGATCCAGATATGACTGATGAAATCCATTCTTTCATTCAGAGCCACTGGCTAATCCAGGGTCTTGTTTGAATACTAGTCCAGCTTGATACATTGTGCTATAGTTGGAATAAAACCAGCTTCTGTTTTGGTGGCTTACCACAAACCATGACAGAAGTATACCAGGCTATTGAATTAAGGTTATAAAGAAAAGACATCTTAAACTTGGAGAAGAGAGATATTAGTAGGCTGTTAAATAAAACCAAGGTCCAGAACCTGTGAAAACATTTATAAATCCAGTCCCTGGTGGAGACTGAGATAAGATTTCTTGAATATCTTACCTTTACAGGGCTATACAGTGACATTATTGAATTCCATCAAGGTCATCGTGATTGGCTCTATAAACAACCACAATTTTGCTAGATGTCAGATGATTTTCTTGACTGACTGTTCTTTCTACGGACATCAGATACTTCAAGCCAGGACAAAAGCTATCATTTCTTGTATCTTATATTTCAAAAATTCTTCGCTGCTCAATATTTCGTCCGGTATTGGATATCGGATAACAGTGAACCACTTCACTATCTTAAAAGCAACTACTTACAGGGAAAATATATAGAAATATTACTGAAGAAGTTTATCGAAGAAGAAAAGTATAGTAGATACTATAATATATTCTGGAGATTTGTTACAGGGCTACTACATAATACAAATAAAGAGCAAGTAAGCTTATTTCTTAAAAAAATCCAATAAGAGCCACGGGATTTACTTGGCCCAGCATATCAACAACTGCTTATACACTGCTTTAGTGAGATACCGCTGCCAGAAGATTCAGAACTGGCAGGGAGTGGTAATAATCGTTTATAATATTTCTGAGAAAAGATGGAATCAGGGTATATACAATAATCTAACTATGAGGAAAAATTTCTGAAAGAAATGTGACTCTGCAGTGAAACTGAATTTCCAGAACATATTCTGTGCAAATTACTTAAGGAAAATTGCTTGCAAGTGAAGAGCCCTCACAGAGCAAAGATTCTAAGAGCATTAATCCATCAGCAGCATATATTGTCCAAACTGATCGGTATAATCTCGAATTTTATGGACGACAGCGATGGCGCTGTGAGGAAGGCAGCTATTAAAGTCTTAACTACATAATCTCCCTGGCTGCCTGAGATTCTGCAGGCGATCATGTGCCGACTAGACCACAGCGACTCATATATAAAGCAGGCAGTTATTGAAGCCTTAGCCACATAATCTCCCTATTTATCTGAGACTCTCCAGGCAGTCACGTGCCGACTAGAGGACAGCGATTCAAAAGTAAAACATACAACTATTAAAGCCTTAGTCATATAATCTCCCTAGTCACCTGAGACTCTCCAGGCAGTCACATACCAACTAGAGAACAGCAATTCAAAAGTAAGATATACAGTTATCAAAGCCTTAGCCACATAATCTTCCTGGCCGCCCGAGACTCTTCAGGCGGTCATGTACCGACTAGAGGACTGTATATAGAATATAAGACAGGCGGCTATTGAAGCCTTAGATACACAATCTCCCTAGCTATCCAAGACTCTGCAGGCGGTTACATGCTGATTAGAGTACTGTAACTGTGATATAAGGCGGGCGGCTGTTAAAGCCTTAGCCATACAATCTTCCTGGCCACCCGAGACTCTCCAGGCAGTCACGTGCCGACTAGACCACAGCGACTTAAACATGAGGCAGGCGGCTGTTAAAGCTTTAGCTACATAATCTCCCTGGCTGCCTGAGACTTTGCAGGCAGTCACATGCTGACTAGACCACAGTGACTCAAACATGAGGCAGGCAGCTGTTGAAGCCTTAACCACACAATTTCCCTGGTCACCCGAGACTCTACAGGCGGTCACGTGCCGACTAGATAATGATTACTTATATGTAAGACAGGCGGCTGTTGAAGCCTTAACCACATAATCTCCCTGGCCACCTGAGATTCTGCAGGCGGTCACATGCCGCCTTAATAATAATGACTCAAATGTGAGGCACGCGGCTGTTAAAGCCTTAGCCTTAGCCACACAATCTCCCTGGCTGCCCGAGACTCTCCAGGAGGTCACGTGCTGACTAGATGATGATTACTTATATGTAAGGCACTCGGCTGTTCAAGCCTTAGGCATGCAATCTCCCTGGCTGTCCGAGACTCTGCAGGCGGTCATGTGCTGCCTTAATAATAATGACTCAAATGTGAGGCACGCAGCTGATGAAGCCTTAGCCACATAATCTCCCTGGCCGCCTGAGACTCTGCAGGCAGTCACGTGCTGCCTTAACGATAATGACTCAAATGTGAGGCACGCAGCTATTGAAGCCTTAGGTAAACAATCTCCCTGGCCACCTGAGACTCTGCAGGCAGTCATATACCGACTAGACCACAGTGATTCATATATAAGACAGGCAGTTGTTGAAGCTCTAGGCATACAATCTCCCTGGCTACCTGAGACTCTACAGGCAGTCACGTGCCGCCTTAACGATAATGACTCAAATGTGAGGCACGCAGCTATTGAAGCCTTAGGCAAAGAATTAGTATCTGCTTACGCCGAACCCTTATGAAACACTAATAAACCTTCATTATTAGTTATTAGAGATCCACTTGGCGCATCTTTCTTTCGGAGTTTCTTATACCTGTACTTTGATGTGCAGACCTGTAACACCGGAAAAAGAATAACGCTCAGCTCAGAGCGAATTCTGGAAATGAATATGCTAAAATACCGCATGATTAACCTAACCATTGGCCTAACTATCAAGCAGGATTCTGGCTATGATCTAAATATGTGAAAATCATGGTCGGTCGGAATTATTCGGTCAGTATTGGGGATCCAGCCCCTGAGTTATCTTGGGCATGCCGTGTGATTTATAGCCGAGGCCACAGCACTGCTGGAGCTTAATAGTAGCAGATGTGCCAATCTACCAGCACAGTCTCTGGATGTTGTTTTAATAGTGTGACTCCTTAAGCTGAGAGCAAATATCTTGACTTGAATTTCTGGGCAAGCTGAACAGCCTGCAGCTGACTGCAGGAGACTTTACCCTTATTATGATATTGTTAATAACGGATTCGCAGCGCCTGCTCCCATCGTATCTAAAAAATCTTTTAATTTATCTGCTGTGTTAATGTACCTAGCTCTGGCACTCCGTTATACCCGTAGACACTGAACAGCATAGTCTCCATAACCGCGAGTGTTTGAAAGTAGGAGGAATTGTAGTGAAACTCAGTGTAAAAACTGTGGTTATACGCCGTAAGATATCACCGAATAATTCTCTATAGAAGTGTGGTTTATATTCTAGGAATATGGTGGAATGTACTTGGGGAAACCTTTCGAGCCATAACAGTGAATAAGTTGAAGAGTGGCTATATAATGCTTCATACTGTAACCGCGGTAGATGCAGACACCCTGGAGTGTTTTGAAATTGTATAAGTGAATAGCTTTGGAAAAACTATATAGTTTATCAATCCCACGTATGAAGTGTTGTACATGAAGTATGTGCTAGTAAAGAAGCTATTAATGCTAATAATTAATAAAAGAACTATCTAAAGATTGAATCTGAGGATACGGAACTCTAGGAAGGGATAAAAGTAAGCTATGTAGAATAGCTGGTCAAGAAAAAGAGACAAGATCAGTCTTTTCTTTTACCACAGATAATTATGCTAATTGGTTATTTGAAAAGACTGGTATTTAACGAGATTCATTATAATTAAGTCCTGTATAATAAGATGTACTGACAAGCTTCGCGCTCACTGGGTACTTTACTTCAGCTGAGAATACTAAAAATCATGTCAAGCTTATTATTAACGCGTTAAAATATATTGAGAAGATAGACTGTGCATATAATCTGGACTTGATTATATTATATTTACTTGTATGCGCCGGCAAATAAAAGAGATGGTGGTCATTGGATATTATATTATTAAGGTTATAGGAATATAGTATGCTATGTTTTTCTTAATTCCTAGTTATCTCCCTTACTTGCACCTTTTCTAGCTAGATTAGGAAGATTATTATTTGGTTCTACTGATTGTTTTGGGTGTGACGGCAGCAATGCTTTCCCTTATATAAGGCTAATTACTGTTTAAAGGTATGCTCTTTAGCTCCTTTATCATACTGGAATAATATTTTTAGAAATCTGGTATAAGGGGTTTCAGGGCCTCGCTGCCCGGAAGTTTTATAGATATACTATCCCAGTAGTGAGTGATTTGACGATGCGGATCTTAGACAGTAAAATTGAGATTTATCACGCGCGGCCCGCTTCATTTGTGATAAGACATAGTTACGATATAGTTGATAATTATGAGATGCTGCAGAGTTATGAGCTCTGTGAAAGTCTGTGGTATTATCTTGATTAATATGCCTGGTCTCTTTCCCCCAGCTTTTTAGTCTGACCTCTAGATTTAAGCAGGGGTTAATCTGTGACATGTTGTCTTATTCCTCCCATATCATGAACCTAAAGGAATTGATTGGCGGATTTTTCTGTTTATTGGAAAGTTCATCACGAGGTTCTCTATGTGGGGAATAATCCTTATATCAACCCCAGTGGAAGCAATATGTGGGAATGGTACTATCCACATCCCCGGCCGCTACGCTAGGATCTTGTGCTAGGGTATGATATTTGATTGGCAGTCCTTGTTCTCGCTGAAGACCAGTATGGGGCTCGGCTGAGAAGTGGATTCTTTTGTTTTTTATAACTACAAGTTCAGATCCCAAGTCTGGCTCTTATTTTAATTTTTTAGTATATCTTTTTTTTTTTTTGCTGCAGCCCTTTTCCAGTTATCATTACATTATATCTGCAGCTAATTCCCATACTACTAAGCCACTTTTTTGCTGGTTACCACACCTAAGCATATCTAGGCATGGTGACTAACTGGACGTGAAAGTCCATGCATTTAGATCATGATTTATAGTTTTTGCTCCATAGTATAGGACTGCACCAGTCGTGGAGACTTATCTAGCTGGGCTTAGAAGGGGATGGAATAAGAGAAGTCTAATTTGTGTGGGAGGATGGATCTGCTGGCTGGGAGATAGAAGAAGGGAGTGCGATTTGTATTATATATTTAAAAAATACAGAGTGGATCTATTACCAAGCACTACTGTGGAATATTACTGATAAGGCAAATAGATCTAGCTCTGCCATTTATATAGAAGATAAGTGCAGCAGTCATGGCTTAGAACAATTATGCTTAATTGTATCTGTTAAATACATGTTAACTCTTATATTCAACAGAGATGTGCGGTGTTTGCCCAGACATGGCAGAAAATATCATGGGCAGTCATAAAGTCCCATACAAGAAAGAAAAGGAAAATAATGGTCTAGTAATTTAAGTTACAGCTAGACCTTGCTAAAACACGGGTTGGATTAGGTTTCCCATATTCTGAGCCCGCCCATGGTGTTGAACTAAGAATAGATTAAGTCTAATTATTTGATTTAAAGAGAGTTCTCTTTTATATAGGCAGGATAATATATATATCTAATTTCTATTTCTACTATAGAGTTCAGCCACTGTGATACTCAACAGGCAGGCTCAGAATATGAAAACCTAATCTAATCTATATTTTAACAAGGTCTACATTGCCCCCTTGTACAGCATGTGACCAAGTCACATGCGACTCCAGCTTTAATAGATGATATTTTCTATATGACTCCGCCTGCCTTCCTTCATCGGTCGGTACTCCCAAGCAGTGAAAGTCAATGATCAGGACTTATCTAGTTTAGTATTCCATAGAATATTGGCTGGTTAGAGGTCCCGGTGCAAGGCTTCCGAGGAATAGATATTCTTACTCGGACTTTATAATCTGATATATTCTTTTATAACACTCAATCTCAGGTATAGGCTCTTCCCTGCTACCAAGGCCATGATAAGTATATAGCAGATCTTGCCAGCTCCGTATATGAAGTAGGATTTAGCCATATTAATTGGCCCCAGGGGATTAGAAACAGCAGATATCTGTACTTAGTTAAGGATATAGTATATAGCTTTTTCCAGTATAATCTTGTTCTACTATTAGAAAGTCACTTTTTAAATATACTATATCTATATACTATATATGTTATCTTAAATGATATACCTGATGCACCACAACCCCCAGAGATATTTAGTTACAGTGAGTATTTCTATTTAATTACTGTATAAATTGCTTAACTTGTTGCTCAAAGGAGCAACTTGACTAGACTATGATATATTTTACCAGATTCTATTATGCATGGTAATGTATTATATAATTTTCATGATACTGAGGCTTCCCAACTTTAACTAATCGAGAAAAGTGAATGTCCGGGTATTTGTGAGCACCAATCAAATACTCATATTCGGAGTGTCTAAACTAAAATATTGAACATGAGAGGAGAAAGGAAAGGAGTATAAGGAAATATATATAAACCACAAAAATAAGCAAGCGAGGCGAAGTAAACAGAATAAATAAAGTAAATAAAAATTATATTATATATTTTTATCATATCTTGTTATTATATTATCCCTCTCTTTAAGACTGGTTGTCCTTAACCAGGGGCACATCGTCATCTTTATAATCCAGCGCGAACTTATCAGCCTCAGCGGCAGCTAGCCACTGCGGCAGTTGCTTAGGGAGTCCAGGGCAGGTGGAATATTTAATATAATAATCTTATAAATAGAATAGAGTATTCTTAAAGTTTCTAGCTGGATATTATATATAATCTGCTTTATCTGAAGCAAGCCATTTAATCCTGTATTATAAACAGTTATAATACAGCTAATTAGCTAGTATCTCTTTAATTTTCTATTTTATTTAATTATTAACTTTAATAGGAACAGCAGCGTCTTGAATCTAGTCAGATAGGATATTTAAAGAATTTTATAGATATAATTTTTTAGAATAAAAGATTAAATGTACTTGTATATTCTTAGAAAGATAAATTTTATATATATTTTTTATTTTATTAATAATCAGAACTAGTCTATACTAATTTTCAGAGAATTTATATAAAGGCTGGCCCTAATATTAATTTCTTATATTAATAAAGATTTTATTACTGATATTAAATTTTTCTAGATAATATTAATAGTTTATTTACTAGATTTATTAGTCTTAAATCTCTTGAATATTCTCCTGTATAAAGAGCTAGATCTATTTTATCTGATAGATAAATTTTTATATCTGATTCCGGGTAATTATATGCGGTGGAAGATCCGTGGGTAATATTTAATTAAATAATATTCTAGACTTATAGTCTCTCTCTACTATAAACAGTAATAATCCAGTAGATTCGTACGGGAGAGCAGCAGCGGTGAAATTAATCAGAAATAATAATTTTAACTAGTTATTCTAGAAATAGTTAATAAACGGGATGAGCTGCTAGATTATATATTAATTAATAATCTTTATCTGTTCATCAGTTTAGAAGTAGTATATAGTAGAAAGCTTTAATTTAATTTATAAGATTCTATAAAATTTATTCTAGAAGTTAGCTATAAACTGATTTTTTTAATCAGAGATAATTATATCCAGTAGCCCTGTCCAGGTATATATCTAGTCTATAAATAGATGTATTATATTTTATATAAATAGTTACTTAGTATACAGGATGGAGACTATATACTTATTAAAATAATCTATTATAATAAAAACTATATTATAGCTGTAATAATCTTTTAGAAAGAAGTGAAAATCTATTAAAATATATTATTATAAATATATCAAGATTAGTAAGAGATGGAGTAGATTTAAAAATAAATTATAATAAATATTCTTATATTTATATATTAAATAATTATTTATATAATATCAGATATTCCTGTTCCAGGTATTCCAGTAATACTGATATTTTATAAGAGCTATTATCTTTGTGTATCCAGAGTATATAAGTAATAATTAATAATAAATTTTATTTAATAATTATATCTGAAGGTCTTTCTTATCAGAGACTACTAGTTAATTTTAATATAATAATAATTTATTTTTTAAAAAAAACTTATTATCTGATTATTATACTTTCTCTCGGAGAGGCTCTAAAGACGGATAAATATAGTTAATATTTAATATATAATTAATTATATAGAGATTCAGCTTCACAGGAATTACTATTATAGTAAATTTAAAAAATATAGACTGGAGTTTAAGAATAATTTTTGGCTTTAATTAATTTAATTTTAATAATATCTAAAAATAATGGTCTCTAGATTATCTAGTAGTAGATTTTTTATAAATAAGATAATTAGTTAGAATATTATTTTTTTCTAAACAGTAATAGATAATAAAATAATAATAAAAAAATATTTTTATTTAATAGATTTATTAGATATTAAGCTTTTTAGTAGTTATAAAATACTTTAAGATTTAGTAATCTATAAGAATATTAAATTTTTTTAGTTATTATAAATTCTTTAGCTCAGTATGCTACTCTGCCAGAGCTTATATAATTACTAATAATTTTTTATTATAAATATTATAATTATATTCGGGTAGGGATATAGTCTTAAAGTAATAAATTATAAAATATTATATTTTATTAATTTATTAAAAAAAGACTTTTATTATTATCTTATTAATAATATTAGTTTCCACCCGTGTAGACCTAGAGGGGTTATAGTATATTAATATAAATATAAATATTAGAATCTTTTTTAAAGTCTAGAAGACTTTCTTATAAATATTATTTTATATAAAAAAAATATCTTTCTGGATTAATTAGATTATAAATTTTATAATTTAACTGTATTTTTTTATAAATTAATAATAGAAGTTACAGAAGTTTAAGAAGAACTAGATTTTTTTAATAATTATAAAATACTATTACTCAGTAATTACAGCAGTTTTAACTAAATCTATATATATATTATTAATAAAAATTATAAAGCCTAGGAACTTTATTTTTATTATATAAAACTTATATTTATAGATAGCAGCCTAGAGACTGGCAGCATAAAGATACTTTAGAATCTGATATATATAAAATTTATATTCAGCTTTATTTTCACTGAAGATTAACACATTGTTGATATAAATAGTAATAAACTTATCCAGGAAATCTATAAGAACCTTATTAATAAGTTATTAGAAAGCAGCCAGACTGTTAGTAAAATTAAATAATAGTACATAGTATTTATAGATTTTATAATAAGTATGGAATATTGTCAGATTCTCAGAACCAAGATCTATATAAATTTAGTAAAATTCTTAATAAATATTAAATTTAATAAAGATCTTAGTATTCTTCAACTGGTCTATTATCTTATTAATAAGTAGAATTAGATAGGAATCTTTATAGATTAATATATTTAATTTTTAATAATTAATATATAGATATAGTCCTCCTCCGGGCTTCTATACTATAAGAATAAAGAAGATAAATAATATAATATTAAAAATAATAAATCTCTTTTTTAAGATTCTTAATAATATATTATTAGGCAGTCTTAAGTTTTTCTAGAATTATTTTATATAAAGAAGCTGCTTCCAGCAGATTTTTTTTTTTTAATTTTATCTAGTAATTATAAAGATAGAATAATAGAAGAGTATCTAATTTTCTTTTTAAAAAAATATTTATTAAATTATAATAATATATAAATAAAATTTATTTAATTTATTTTTTTTTATTATTTTAGAATCTTAGTTTATAAAATTTTATTTTTTTAAAATTATCTTTTTAATTATATTTAAGAATATAATAAATATCTTAAACTTTTAGTTCTAAAGATATTTATAGAATATAATAATCTTAATTAATATTATTTTAATTTTATTTAATATATTCTTACTGCGAGATCTTGGAAGTAGTATAAACTGCTAGTACTAGAAATTTTAATTATTAATATTATAATTTATCTTAGTTAATACTTCCTGCGGAGAGCTCTGGGAGATTTATAAAAATATAAATTTATATTTTAGAACTAGTATAAGATATAATAGTTTTAATATTTTTTAAAAATATTTATTCCAGTGGGTAATGTTCTGCTGGTGGCTTTAATTTATAGAATACTAATTTAGAATATTTTATAGAATCTGGTATAATAAGCCTGCTCTGATTTTATCTTATAACAAGAGCTGGTCAGGCTAAATAAATTAATAATATTAATAATTTAATAAGATCCTATATTTTGTGAACTATATTATATCTAGTATAATATTATATTGACTGAGATTAAGAATTAGAAAGGATATATTATTAAATTATTATTTATTAATAATAAAATTAAAGTAAATAGTATATATTAAAGATATAATAATTTTTCTGTTAAATTCTATTATAATATATCTAGTTATTAGAGGGATTATTTTATTTTGGAATTAGTATATTAGTTTAATTATAAAATTAATATTTATATATATGAATATGTTTACTCTAATATCTGTTAAAATATAGATAGATACTGCTAGTTTATTTTTTAATATTAAAATATTTATTATAAAACTTTTATTTTCTTAGTCTAGCAGAGTCTGTAAGTCTAATATACTTAAATAAATTTTTATTTTATCTAGAAAAAAGATTTTTTTTAAATATTATTTTTTATTTATTTATTTTTTTTATAATTTCTAGTTATTTAATCTAGGTTATCTTCTTTTTCAGGTAATTCTTGACTAGATAATTTTATTTTTGATAAATAAAATATTATTTTTTAATTATTATATAGATACAGTCCTCGGGCTTCAGACTTAAGATATAACTAGTGATTTAAAAGATTTAAATACTAGTAAAAACAGAAACAGTAAGAATAATAATATTTAAAATAATTAATAAAATATAATAAGATAATAAATCAGTTTTATCAGATTACTTTATTATCTGATTAATAAGATTTGAAGCACTAGTACAGAATTTAATAAATTAATTAAAATTTATTTTATTATTTATAAACTAGATTATAGTTATTTCTCTTAGTTTAGAAGATAGTTACTGATATAAATTATTTTTCTAGTAAATCTTGATAATACCAGCTTTCATAGTCAGGTACTGAAATATAAAGATAAAATTATA